AGGCTTCCCCCCCAGTTCACCACCCCTCCAGGGTGGTTCCAACACCCTATGGTGTCCCAAACAAGGTCAGAATTCAGCCTGGGGGACAGAGCTCTGTCCTTCTGCTGCTGTCTCGTCGCGACGTCAATATCTCCAATATTCTTGAACAGATCTCTGGTTTTTCTATTTCTATTATTTTCCTCTCTTTCTTTGCACTGTTCGTTTAAGAAGGCCCTCTTGTCTCTCCTTGCTTTTCTTTGGAGGTCTGCATTCAATTTTCTGTAAATTTCCCTATTTCCCTTGCATTTTGTTTCCCTTCTCTTCTCTGCTGTATGTAAGGCCTCATTGGACAGCCACTTTGATTTCTTGCATTTCCTTTTCTTTGGGATGGTTTTTGTTGCTGCCTCCTGTACAATGTTACGAGCCTCTATCCAAAGTTCTTCAGGTGCTCTGTCCACCAGATCTAGTTCCTTAAATCTGTTCTTCTCTTCCACTGTGTATTCATAAGGGATTTGGTTGAGATTATACCTGACTAGCCCAGTGGTTTTTCCTACTTTCACGTTTAGTCAGAACTCTCCACTATGACCTGTCCATCTTGGGTGGCCCTGCACGGCATAGCCCATAGCTTCTCTGAATTACTCAAGCCCCTTAGCCACAACAAGGCAGCAATCCATGAAGGGGACAGCAATCCATTAAGGTAATTGAACACATGTAAAGGTTACTTAAATATTATGCTCACTTTCGAAATCTGTTGTTACTTCAGTTGCAGATTTATGTTCTGCTGTTCACCAGCATCCCAGGTAATATCTTATAGAGCTGGACAATTGGGAGGTCACAGTCATCTAGCCCAAGTCTTGCAGATAGGTAGGGCTTTGTACATCTTTGCTGGACGCAGGCATATCTGTGCAAACCACAGTTTAGTTTGTCATTGCATACAGCCAGAGCCCGGTCATTATTTGGGGGGGGGGCAGGAGGAGCAGTACAAATTGTAGCTCCCTTCTACAAGGATACCACAATTTTTCATCTTGTATATCCTCAGACAAGATCTACATTTCATCATGAATAGCTTAGTGATTTAGGTATCTGGCTTTGGAACCAGATTTTGGGAGTTCGATCCTACACTGTGCCATCTGGGAGGAGAGCTGTCCTGTGTGGCCTTAGGCAACTTGCACAGTCCCAGGGCCCCCGCAAAAAACATAGAAAGGTTCACCTTAGGTCTGAATTGATTTGATAGCACACAATTATTATTAATGGAGAAAAAACCACTGGGCTTTTAAGCCCCTACCCCCCCCCCCACACACACACATGCACCCATGAGATTCCTGCAGATAGTCTATCTGTACTTAAACTATTTTAACAGTTTCTGCTCTTTCTCAAATCTTCCTGGGGGAAAATAAATCTTTGTGCAGAAGTTAGGGATGTCTAACAGGGTAGACAGTGTTCTTGCTGAAGTATAATTTCTAATGAAATAGTACAAAAGGTAATTAAGATTTCAGGTCTGTATGTATTCAGAGAGCTGTTACATAGCAAATCAGGTATTTGCAAAGTAAGCAGTTCAGCCTGGCCACCAGTATCTTCCCTGATGGAAAATAAATTGGCTCTAAACCTCCAAGCCAAGATAGTGCTGAAGTGGTCTATAGCAGTCTTTCCAGAAACCTGCTGAATGGAATCAGTGGAATACAAATGAATACAAGTTCTGTAGAAAGAAGATGGAAAGGTGTATTGGGAATAGCTTTGCTAGATGTCAGAGAGGACATGAAGGCCAATAAAAAGGAACCTTAAAAATAAACTTCTTCACTAAATCACTCTGAGTGATAAAACAAGCACCGGAAAATAATGCATTAATAGGGGTATACTTTCAGCTAACAGATCAAATTGCTGAGGGTGATGTCAAGGTAGGGAAATTACTCAGGAAATTGTCCAAATAGAAAATATCATACTAATGAGCGACTGTAATTACAGTTGCACAGACTGTGTAAAAGGCATTATCCATTCACAATCAATGAATACTTTATTAACATTGTAAATGACAGTCCCTCTGAACAGCTGGCAATGAAACTAACCAGAATAGAGAGATCTGAACATAATCCTGAGTTGTGCCCAGGACCTTTTATAGGCACTGGAGTTAAAGAAATGTGTTATGCAGATCCTTGATTTTTGGAGTCTTCATCTTGTGGGTCCGAGGCGATGTGATTATATCGGAGGGCTTGGCTGTAAATGATAGATTTAGTGCTGTGTTCAGGATGGAAACTTAAGGCATACAGATAAATATATCAATCAGTGGGTTTTCAATACAGTGTACTGTAGTGCTAAGGTGTCCGTGCTGTAACTTCACAGTGGTGTCAAGAAAATGCACCTGTTGTGTGGATTGGTCCAGGTTAAAGTCATTGAAATCCTGGTGGAATTTTTCTAGAGCTTCCTTTCCATAGGCAGAAGTATGGCATTGCGTGATACATTCTTTTCAGGTGTATAGTATTATTCTTGTAGTGGGGAAATTAGCCCAAGAATACCAACAAAATCTGAGCTTCAATAAAACACATTTTTATTTTACCATCATATTCACTGAAAGAAAACATTGTTTAGTATACCATATGTACCAGTGGACCACCAGTGGAAGAGCAAGACCAAGTGGAATCAGGGACAGCATTAGGAAAATTGGAAAAGCTGAAATATCACTGGAACAGGGCTGTCTCCAGGCAAGGAGCAGAATAGTTTTAGCTGAGATATATACGTATTTTAAAATGAGTATAAATCACATGAAAGGGAGTATTTCTTTCCACAGCAGGAACCTGGAAGCAAAGCTGCTCATTTTCGAAAAAAGAAACATGTGAGGTTGGCTGAATATAATAGGAGTACAATTAATAGGCTGTTACCATTATTTTTCTATTGATCAAATATTATGTGACACATACAAGGTCAAATTACATGTGACACTGAGCTTACGGTACATTTAGCAGTCAACAGAATACTTGTCTGGTAACATGATTCCCTCAGAGCTGTGGGCTTAAGCCATAACTCTTGAAAGTTAAGCCCCATTTACCCCCAATGACCAGTCACAAAACAATGCTAGCATGATAAATTAAGTGTGAAGGCATAAAAAACTTCTGCTGGAACAAACGAGTCTCTTTTCTATGTAAGGGAATTTTGCTTCCATATTTTGAGCTGAGGATCTCATATCACTTAAGCTTGTCTTCACTGCTGTTTTTAATATTCCCAGACTCTCAAGTTCCTTAATTTGCCTTGAGCAGGTCTCTTTTCCTATCCTGAAGTGCTACATGAAATTTTGCTAATAACTTTTTCTCATTCCTGTCACTTATCTGTTTTCTATCATGCCTCTTTCATCCTCTCTTCTTTACCCACCTTTCAGACCTTTACTTCTCATGCCCTTGTTTATTCCCTGTCATGTCTTTAGGACAGCTAGCTATTGCCCTAATCAGCCAGATTTCCGTAGGCTTCCTGCTGCCTGATACAACTGCCTCTGCTTCTACTATTTCTTTTGACAGCATACAAACCCACTTGTCCCTTGGCTCTGTGTAAGGTTTTTCCTAGCCAAACTAACATTTCACTTCTAATTTGTAAGCTGCCACAGGAACAGTTTAATGAATAGCAGTTGCTGGACAGCAAAAACAGGAGCTGTTGCCTCTTGTGGGCTTCCCGAAGGGATGCTGCTGATTGTTATGGGAAGCAGGATGCTGGACTTAGTGGACAAATCGAGCTTCAGGCTCTTCTTAGGTTAACTAAATCTGCAGTAGGGATTAAGGATATCTTTTGCTAAAAATGATCTCTTGACAAGCTGGTATTTTGAGAGGGAGGATTCTCTGCAGCCCAGTCATGTTTCCTATCTCCTCTTCCTTTTCCTCTCCTCCTCTCATTCTTCTTTCATATGCCAGAACTGCTGTTGAGAACAGAAATGGGAAAGTGTGGTGACTGTAGGTGTCTTGTGGACATGGACCCTAGTTCTGCTGGTCCGTCAAATATCACATGACTGAGAGGAAAAGTGGATAGTTGTGCAAACTCAGTTGTACACAGCAGAAACACAGATGTAAAATGGGCTAGGTACAATTTGAAGTTAAAGATGAAGTTTTCAGGGAGAAAAAAACCTGATGATTTAACTGAAAAGGAAATGGGGTGCTGCCAGGATGCAGACCACCTTGTGTGAAAATCAAGGTGGCTAAATAAAATGGTGACACCAGTGAAGAATATCTTAGAAGACCTTGATGTGCGAAAGTTCATTCTCTTCATGATGGGAAAAAATGAGAAAGAAAGAGAATACAACATTTTTGTCCATCCAAATGTTAGATACCTCCTTGATACTTTTTGGAAACCCTAAAAGATTCAGTGCTTTTCATGCTTTCTTCTCCTGCCTTCTTTCTCCTTTTTGTTCTAGTTTTTCTTGGATGATGATGTGGTTCCATTCCCCCCCATTCCTAATGCATCAAACGCAAGTGTTCCTGATGCAAGTGATCAGACACAGTGGTATATTCAAAGCAATTATTTTTTTCTACCAGTAAGTTTGTCTCATGTCTATTTCTACTCATATCTACTGTCTGTAAAATGATAACAGCTGAGATATATTCGCATGTACTTCTAAGAGCTCCTTAATATATGCTCCTGAATTGATCTAGATCCATGTGAAGGCTTCTAGTAACATACTGTAGTTTCTCAGATGATGAGTTTACAATTCCATGTAAATAATGTAATTTCTAAGGAGAGACAAAATGGAGCCCCATGCAGAAGTTGCATGGTGCTCCTGCTTCTTAGTAGGAGTCCAGGCTTATTAGCTCATCTTTTGCATGTTTATTTGGAAGAAAACCCAGTAGGCTTCAATGGCATATACTCCCATGTGAGCGTGCCTAGAATTGCACCACTTCTGGCTAACTGTGGTTGCATGGAAATCAACATCATTACTTACCTTACTGGAAAGGTGTGGAAGCTCCTTTTCCATTCTCTTCTACTCTGCTGAGGATCAAAAGTGAAAACCAAGCAGGAGGAAGGCCAGTATGGAGGTCCTTCTCATCCTGTTGTCTTCTGGCTCGGAAGTGAGTGTGACAGTTGTGTGGGGAGAATCTCTGTGATTGTTCTGCTGATGTGATTCCTGCCATTTGACCTTTATGACAATTCTGTAGTGTGGAACAACAACAACAACAACAAAAAAGCGGAGGAAGCAGCTCCCTTGGAATTACTCCTTGTTAATGTATGATAGGACTATCAGTCTACTCAACTTTGTTTTTTTTAAAAATCCTACACGTAGAAAACATGTATATAAACTTGGACTAGAATTGTTTATCCCGAGCTTTATACTAGAATTCTGTTGGGAAAAGATCTATCTGCCCACATTAGTAGCTGCACAAATTGTCACCCTCTCCCCAACTTGCCAGGGTGTCTACTGTGTGACACCCTGTTTGCAAAATTGGTAAGACATCCCAGTTAGAAGAGTTAACCCCTTGCACAATTCCCTTTGCAGCATGACTGTGACAATATGCGAAGAACATTTCTCTTTCAGAGCATGTGACCTCCCCCTTCTAGCTATATTCTGATGCAACGCAGCCTAGACTCATATTTACCCCCTTGGTGGTACTAGGCAATAGTTGCTGATTAAAGTTTGGCTTTTCTCCTCTAGTACTTTATCTACTGCTGCATCCTGGGCTTGATTTCCTGTTCTGTTTTCCTCCGGATAAATCATGAGCTGAAAATGGCAATCATGCTTACTGCTCTGGTTATCTACAATGTCATTCTTCTGCATACACATGGCTCTGTGCTAGACAATTATAGCAAGTTCCTATACACAGTGACGCCTCTAAAAAGGTAGGAGAGTTAACCTATCTCTTCATTAAAAAAATGACCAATCTGGATATTTTGAGACAGAGTGCTGCCTGTTTTACTTTTCTTCTCTTTTTTTCTCCTTATAATGTCTAATAGAAATGTGTTGCATGACCTCACTGTGTTGTATATCTCCACCTATACATCAACCAAGTATGGGATGAATTGGAGATCCTCAGCAGGGGAATGTCATGTTACATAGTTTGTGTTAGAACATTACAAGGAAAAAAAAGAAGAAAACCAACTACAGCTCACATCACTGGCATCCTCGTCTCTTTTTAAATGCTAGTTCTCTGTTCCTTCTTGGAGCCTGTGGGCAATGGGTATGTGTGAAGAGGACCAATATGTGTTTGCTGTTGATGGTTAGTGGAACAACAATAATAATATCGGCATCATAGCACAACTAGAAACTACAGATGAAAATAAATTCTCATTCATTAAATTAGGAATAACATGCCTTTTGGATTTGTTGTGCTGCCCAGAGACAGAATTCTATTTAATAAGTCCGACTTTAGCATTATGTAGGTAATCACTTGACATCTGACCATTCAGCCTAGAGGCAAGCGGTGCATCACGGCTTCTCCCAATTTGAAGAGACCCTTGTCCAGCAGGCTGAGGCAAAGAGGCAGTCCCGGAAGCAGCAAGATCAGGGAGCTGGACAGGGGACAGACTGGATTTGTCTTCAGTGTGGAAGGGATTGTCATTCTCAAATTGGCCTTTTCAGCCATACTAGATGCTGTTCCAAGTCCTCAATATAGAGCACGTTACCATAGTCTCTCAAGACAACAGATGCCTAAGAAGAACTGCACCTTTATATATAATAAAGCAATATTTTCTACAAATAAGATATTTTGATTTTCTTCTACCATGACTGCTTGTTGATAAAAAGTGGCAGCTGTTTGAAACTTTCAATGAAAAAGGTGTGCAAGTAAATGTTTGGGCCTAAATCCAGTTGTTAGGTCTAGATACAGTTGGCCCGTAGAATCAATTGCTGGTTGGCGAGTCTTCAGTCACATAAATCCAGTTGATTTGGTGGGTCTCCTCTGGGTGGATTACCGGTTTGATTCAGGCCTTGAGGTTTCTGCCTGCTATGATGACCTCTTTTCTTATATCCTGTACTTCCTTTTCACAGCAGTTGTTGTTATTATATGGAAACAACATTGCAAAATTGTGATGAAATGAAAGAGGGTGACTTGAAATATTTAGAAAATCATCAAAGAAAAAAACGTAGATAATTGTACTGTTAAATAGAAAAACTTCTTGGGGGAGCTGATTTTCACTGTCATGATAAGATAATAAAGGATCAGTTGTGTAAATTATTCTGCTTGCTATTGTTATATTTTTACTACTAGTGAGTGGGATAGATGCTAAGGGGATTTTTTTTACTTCGTATAGTAGATAATCTGACTGGTCACAGGTGACATCTACCTCTGGGGAGAGTGCTAACTCATAAATGGAGGGCCGTTCAAACATTCAGCCCAATTCCAAATGGCAACCTGAACTATTAGTTTGGGGAAAGCTTTACAATTCTATTCAACCAAGAGTAGAAACTGATCTTTTATTTTAGGTATAACTCAGAATAACATAACTAGCCTGCGAATTTGTACAGCATTCTAATTTTCCTGCAAATTTTTATTTACACCTTTATTTTCACAGACCAGGGATCCTGAAAGACTTGAAGACGATGGGCTCTGTATCTCTCTTTATCTTCTTCATCACACTGCTGGTGCTTAGCAGACAGGTAGAAACACTTACTTTGTCACATTTTTCAAAATAGATGTGAAAATCAATCTGAGCTTGTGTATGGTGTTCCAGCTGTTTCTGTCGCTCATCCTTATAAAACATAAACCAACACAACTCACACAAATGACTGTATTTTCCTCACATTATAGGAAAAAACTTGGCACAGTGTTTGAGGCAGCAGAAAAACACGTTTTAATATTATACATATTCTAAGGCATAAAATGATTGGCATTATAATAAACTAGTTTAGTAAACTATTTTCTTTAATCTTTCATGAAATCTGCCTTGATGTTGGTACTATATCTGTGCCTACTTATATATAACTTGCATTGTCTGCACTAATGTGTTGTTCATATCTATTGTGCCAGGACAGTTTTTCCTCTTGCATCTTGTCTTATATTTAGAACAGGATATCTCAATTCACAGTATCAGTATTTTGGACATTACATTGTTCTGCACATTATGGAGCAGGAGGTTTGCCCAACTAAGTAGTACAGTGATGCCTCAACTTATGAACTTAATCCTTATTGGAACGGTGTTCGTTAAGTCGAAATGTTCGTAAGTGGAAGCACCATTTCCCATTGAAATGCATGGGAACGGGATTAATCCGTTCCAGCATTAAAAAAAAATACCAAAAATAAAAATAATTAGAGCAAGTCCTACGCTGGGACTGCAAAAAAATCCACACAGACACACACACACCCACAAAGCCAAAAACAAGACAACACAGCACAGAAACATAACCCCCCCAGTCCAAACCCTCCCTCCAAAGCCCACCCAGAACAGTTTTTTTTTAAAAAAAAGAAAATCCGTCCCTTACCAGTATGAAGCCTCCAAGGCTTCCACTGCTGCTGTGACCGCCGGCGGCGGGAGGCTTGAGCCTGGCAGGGGTGCTTTGGCTGCTCACCTCCCAGCTCACCTTGCACTTGCTCCGCGCCACCCTCCGTGGGCCGATGGCAGGAAATTCAAATGGTGGAGGGCAGCGAGGAGTGAGCAGGAGGCGAGCTGGGAGGCTAAAGAAACCCGGCCAGCTCAAGCCTCCTGGCGCTGGGTGATTGCTGCCTCTGCTGCCCCTGCCACTGCCACCGGAGCACCCAGCAGGCTCAAGCCTCCTAGCTCTGGGCTACCCCACCGCATCCCTTTCCCTAACTGTTGGGGCAAAAAAGCTACAAAGAAGCAGCCTCTTCGCCAAAGAAGCAGCCTGTACTGTACTCTTACTTAGTACAGTAGATTCAAATTTCCCACCCTTTCCCTCTGCCTTTTTGTGTTTATCAGTCGAAGTTTACAGAGTAGTCTATTGACTAGATGGGTGGGGTATAAATTCAATAAATAAATAAATAAATAAATACATGAAGCTCCGTTCACAAGTTGAAGCAAAATTTTGTGAACGGAACGGTTCGTAAATTCAAATGTTCATAGGTAGGGACATTTGTAAATCGAGGTTCCACTGTATTCCCTTATGGTGTACAAGTTAAAACAAAGGGAATTTCTTTCTAGCTCAGCAGAGTCCTTCTAACAATTAACAGAATAAACTAATTTCTTTTTATCACTGCCCTCTCCCTCTCTCTCTTTACTGCATGCAACTATGGAGACCTGTTGGATGGAGAGAGACAATATTAAGTATACCTGAGGGTAAAAAAATGCCTTTATGAATTTTAATTCAAAGAAGAGTGTGCTGTTGAATTGATTATAAAACTAAACAGTCAGCTTCTTGAGAACTGCAATTTCCATAGCATTGAGTTTCTCACACTATTTAACGTTTAAATACAGATGATTCATGACATTATAAAAGAGATTTTCTACTTTAAATGCAGGATTGTGTTTATGCTTTCCAATTCTCTAATAATGACCAGTTTATTGCAGCAATTTTGGTAGACTGAGAGGTCTATTTTGGTATTACTGTGCTCAGTGCTCTTTCACTTTATATTCTGTAGCAAGGGTAGGGACAGAAGTTGTTTATTCTGCTAAGGAAATTAGCCATGGATAGAGTGAAAGGCCAGAGTGCTAATTTTCAAGATAAATATGCATAGAGCAAAGTGATGTTTTGTTGTATTTTGTGCTATAAGGTCATTTGTGAAACTGGACAGCACATAGTCTCAGTCTTCTTAATAGTACTGTTTCTGAAAATAGCAATTGAAATTAATGTCATTATCCTTCCTTTGATTTTTATTAACATCATGCAGTGTACCTTGTACAATTAAACCAAATACCCTTCTAGTCCAGCATTCTGTTTGCAGATGGACTTCTCATAAGGAGGGTATCCTGTGCTGACTTATATCCCTCCCTAGTCACCTGTCCCCTGCAGTTGTTTTTAGAGGTGCCTTACCCTGTTAACGACTGGGGGCCGCGGTGGCGCTGCGGGCTAAACCGCAGAAGCCTGTGCTGCAGGGTCAGAAGACCAGCGGTCGTAAGATTGAATCCACGCAATGGAGTGAGCTCCTGTCGCTTTGTCGCAGCTCCTCGCCAGCCTAGCAGTTTTCCTGCATGTAAAATACGAGTAGATAAATAGGTACCATCTTGGTGGGAAGGTAAAACAGCGTTCCCTAGTCACTCTGGCCATGTGACAACGGAAACTGTCCTCGGACAGGCACTGGCTCTACGGCTTGAAAAGTGGGATGAGCACCGCCCCCTAGAGTCGGACACAGCTGGACTAAAAATGTCAAGGGGAATCTTTACCTTTACCCTGTTAACATGGAGATATTCTGTTTAGCTGTCATGCCCAAGGCTGCAAACTTGCAAACAAAGTCTATGTTTAACCCCAGTAAAATACCACGTACAGAGCACCCTAATTTGCAAGATACAAAAAAGTTTTTTCTGGATTTTTTCTTTAAATATTTTAATATTTTCAGACTGTGCATAAGTGAATCATTGGATACTGATCCTGTGGATGAGGGGGTCCTACTGTATATAGAATACATATTGTCTAACCAGGAAATCCATAAGTGCTGAAATACATTTGATTGACATAGTACAAGCTTTCTCACCTCCAGTATCTTGCAAATTAGGGTGCTTTGTATGTGATATGTTATTGGGGTTAAACGTGGACTTTGTTTACTAGTCTGACTGATCAGGCACAGACCTCTGTGGAATCTTTGTCAGCTTCTAATAATGTGATATTGTATCACCTAATTTGCCCCTAGTAGTCATGAGATTGCCCAGTGTTCTTCTAAAGCCACCTTTGTTACTGATCATCAATGCGTTTTGTGTCAGCAGATTTCATAACCTAATTATTTGGTGGGGGGAGTACTTTGTTTTGATGGTCCTGAAAGTCAATCCTTTCCATTCTAGTAATATGAGAGAGAGAGAGAGAGAGAGAGAGAGAGAGAATTGTAATAATAGGAGTACGGCGTGGAGAAATATTTTTTAATCTCTTTCCACACCATTAATAATATTGTTATAAGCCTCTATTTTAATTTAAAATGATGTTTGCCACATTTGTGTGCATCTGTCTCAGGCCACTGGTTTTTTCTTTCTTTCTTTCTTTTCTCTCATTGCTACCTCAGTGTGATTGGAGATGTGTTGCCCTGCTGTGTGTTATTACACTGCAGTGCCAAGAGGAGATTTAGTTTGTCCAGCAGAAACCATCAAAAGATGCAGGGCTGTTTAATTCGTGGAAGATACCATTCTTCTGTGGGCTATGAAAATAATCCATGCTGTGGTGCGCAATTTAATTGAAACATTTTGTACCTCTATGGAAACATTAATGTGATGGTGAACTGTTTTATTAAGTGTTGAGGTGTCAATAATTTTTATTTAGTACCTGGGATGGAGCAAGTGGAGTGACTATTTTAATGTGTTAGGTTGGTTTTAATAAGTAAGCATAGGCTTTGTTTCTGTCCTGGGAACTCCAGCTTTGTCATTAGCATCAGTTTTGCAGTGAGTTCTGGTGTATCAGTACTGTAGTGTGTTTGTGAGAGCACTGATTACAACATACGCAGATGTATGGTAAAATATAATGCACTGTAATATCTCTCCTCAGCGTAGAGGCTGGCATGGGCATTCTTAGAGTGGCTTGAAGATATGATTTAAAGGAAAACTTTACCCCTCCCCACTTAGTTTGAAGAGGGATAAACTCCAGGAATACTCCAATGTGTCTTTGGGAAAGCAAGAATTTGGACGTAGGCGTCCCCAGTTGTGGCCAGAATGGTGGTGTGAGCCAGTGACAAATTGCAGAGGGGGTTTGCTGCAACATGGCGGCTCCCATGGAGTTCCAGCTGTGTACCTGCAATGTTGGGAAGCTGACTGCCATGAGTTTTTCTTGCTGCCTGTGTGGTCTCCAAAGCACCACCACCTTTCCTGGTAGAAACTTCATTCGCTGTTTCAGGGTTTGTGGGTGGCATTTGGGTCTCTTGATGGAATGGATCTGTTCCCAGTACTTGACCAGGGGTATTGCTGATGTAACAAAGTTGTGGCCTTTTCCTTCTCTGTGGTTTCTTGCTTAGTGATTTGTTTAGTTGGCCCAAGCCTGCTCAGTTCTAGGCCAACAACAAAGCCTCTTAAATATTGTGATTTGCCAACTTAGTGTTGCTAATGCTTGATGCAAATTAATTAGGCAAATAGAGGCAACTCTCTCATATTTCACTCTGCTCTTTACCACAAGATAAAACGGCACTTTATATTAATTTAGCTGTAAATGTTTGTTGTCTTGCTTCACCGTGAGCTTTCTATAGTTTCAAGCGAATGCCTTTCCATATTTCTTTGTGGCCACTGAATTTTCAAGCTGGTTGCTCTGTGTGCCTTCCTCCTTTTACATAAAATCGATGGGATGCACCTAGTAGAACTACCTAGAGTTCTTCCTTTACTCCCTACTTCCAGCTATGGGAACTTGTTCCATCGCTCCAAATGTTTTTCATGCCAGTGTTGCTGTGGAATTGGTGCTTGTGCAGCAGCACTGCTAGGAGCCAAGCTGCCACTTTAAAATGTACTCCTAAAATGTCGCTCTGGCTCTTCGTTTACTTTCTTCTGTTGCCTTTGCTTATTCCATGCCACATCTGTTCCAAAACCAGTTTGGACTGGAAGGGGAAGTGAGCTTTTTATTCTACATTTTAGCTGTGTGTTATTCACTGACACTGTTGGCTCTTGATTCTTTCCCCTCTCAATGTTCCATCTGCTCCAGATTGCTCCAACCAGCAATCTTTCTTCCATACAAAACTGCATTTGAAACCTCACAAGCTGGAACATGGGGTGTGGTTTGGGAAACAAAAAGAATGGGACGGAGTTAAATATCCTGTCAATTTTGTGTCATCAAGTCAATTTTGACTTATGATGACCCTCCCAGAATTTTTAAAGTATGAAATACTCAGCGATGGTTTACCAGTCCTTCCTTCTGTGGGTGCTCTGGAACAGTGCATCTTGCCCAAGGCCACATAGGTGACTGGGCACATACATAAATTCTGTGAGCCACACATGCTCCTGGCCATCTTAGCCAGACCTTCTCCAGGGCAACACAGTGGAGGTTTGAACTTTCTGTACCTACTGTGCAACCAAGCATCCCAACATACTGAGCTGTACCACTTTTAAATTTACCACTGTACTTCTTTGGATCAGTCTGGAGAATGACATATACAACTTTCCTTTGGTACATACATGTCAGATTCCTAAGAGCTAAAGTTATGAATGTGGAAGCCCAGACAAACTGAGTTGCTGACCATCTCAATAAACACAGTAAATAAAATAAAATAAAATGAAGAGCATGTGCACATACAGCTTCCGGCTGGATCAGGGAGAATATATACTGTTCCATTACTTTTGTGTGTGTGCATGTGTATTTTTTTCTATTGTCACCTGATAGGACAAGATGCCTATTGTTTCTTTATTTCTGTGTCCTCTTTGTAACAGAATGAATATTACTGTAGGTTAGATTTCCTGTGGAAGAACAAGTTCAAAAAAGAGCGTGAAGAGATTGAGACCATGGAGAATTTGAATCGCCTCCTTCTGGAAAATGTGCTGCCTGCTCACGTGGCGGAGCATTTCTTGGCAAGGAACTTGAAGAACGAGGTCAGTCCTCCCCATATCTGTGATAAAATGGAGTAGGCTTTTATGCACACCTTTAGAAAGCAATTTTTTCACAGTACATGGGTAGCATGCTGCAGATCGTTCTGCCCTGAAAGTGAGAATTGGCAAAACAACTTGCTTCCATTTCTGCTTTCAGCTTGCAAGAACAAAGCATGAGAAAAGCAGATTATGGCTTATTTTGCCCAATGCATGCTGTTCCCAGGCATGCCTTGAAAGCAGTGTTACAGTGCTTTCTTTCCTTTTGGGAAGATCACTGGAACTTTGCTTTCTATCATGTCTATTTGTTGTGAACAGAAAATATACAGAAAGCATTAATATTTGAGCCTTCTTTGGTTCCCCAAAGCAAGCAATATGTTCCTGGGCTCCCCTAAATCTGTGGCACTCTCTCTCACAAAATAGTTACAAAAACAATTTCTGTGTCTTCCCTACTACGTAGGTCCCAACTCCAAATTATATTTCTATTAGCTCTTTATACACAATGAAGGAAAAAATCCAGGATCTTTAACCCGAAAAGGAAATGTCTCAAGCTATGAAGCAAACAAAATAACAGATCATATGCTAATTCTTTCCAAGTATGTTTCCTTTCTCAAAAATGGCTACATAAAAGCTATGGACATAACTTGCATTCAGTCACATCTGAATTAAATAATGGCAAGGGCTTCAGTGGCCCACTGGGGGCATTAACAAAAAAGCACAGTCCCTGCCTTAGGTCTTTTTTGTTGTTCCATAACATCCTGAGAGAAGACTGGCATCTCGAAATTTCACAGTGTATTGTGAATGCTCAAAACAGGCAGTGAGTTCAGTGGATTAAGGACAAGTGAACATTCATTTTACTCAGTCTGATCCGCTGCAGCCTTGAGAAGACTGATGCACCTTCCATACACCTGGCACTTACCAACAGCCCATATCACGGGAGGAGGATTTTATGCATATCTTTGGGGAAGCATATCTTGAGCTCCATCTTCCACTACAATAAGTGGGAGAACATGCTTATGCCAGAGTTTCCTGTGTGCAGTGGACCACATGTGCATTTCTGAGTCAGAATTTATTTCCTGTTTCCTATTCTGCTATTTACATGTCACTTTGATTCTATTTTGCTGGGGGGGGGCGCGGTTGAGTTGTATTTTGTGCTTTCTAACTTAATTTAAAAAGATGAAAGTCAACAACATCACAGTTGTCAAAACTCCATGTAGCTAAATAACAGGAATCAGTTTCAAAGTCCTTGTGCTCTCTAGAGCAATGGTTCGGGCCTTTTTGCATTGATGTGGAAATGAATTCATGACAAGGGTTATCTTAATTTACTAAATAGGTTAATTAGGTAGTATTTGTTTATTTACTTAAGAAAATAATTCATAGATTAAAGCGAATCACCATACTGTAGAAAAAGTGGAGATGTTAATCTTTGTGATAAACTGGTGCTAAATCATGTCCCATGTACCTCATTGCCCTTCTTTCCCTTTTTCTTTCTCCTCCCACTTCTGTTTTGTTCTGTGAATGTCTTTTGCTGAGAATGCAGAGTAACAGGGTCTCTCCTTCTTCCCTGTTCAACAGGATTTATACCATCAATCATATGACTGTGTCTGCGTCATGTTTGCCTCCATTCCAGATTTCAAAGAATTTTATACAGAATCTGATGTCAACAAAGAAGGCTTAGAATGTCTCAGGCTTCTAAATGAAATCATTGCTGACTTTGATGATGTAAGTCATTAGTGTGTTCAGCTAAAATGTGAGTTCTGCTGTTACACAGACTTATGACCAGAATTCAACACAAACTCAAATTCAGTTGAGAGCAATTAATTATGCCCTGTGTATTTAGTTTGGAAGCACAATGCCTGTTTATCATTTCAAGGAACAAAGGGTGTTGCCTTGATTAATGAATGCCTGCTGTGCTGCTTCCAGCACATCTACTTACCCCATAAAAATGGAAGAACTCTTTACCAAAATATCTGCAGTTACCCCAAAATAGCTGTAGTTTAACTAGTTGGCTGGTCTGGTTCTCGGTGGAGTGAGAGCAGAATAAGGCACATATTGTGGGGGATGGGGAACAAAGTGAACATGGAAGAAAAAAAATGGTCTGTAGTGAGCAACCTTGGGATGATTGGAGACATCATTTTACCACATTAATTTTGTATTATATATATATATAAATAAAGAATATATATTCTTTATAAAGACATCTATTGGACATCTATTCTTTATTTTTATATAAATATAAATATAAATATAAATATAAATATAAATATAAATATATAAAGAATAGATGTCCAAATGAACCAGCCTAATCCAGAAATCTATAAGATGAAACTGGGAGCATCATTTATTTCCGCTCTGGTCTCTATGAGCCACACAGGCAGCTTTCCACCGTGTCCCTGTAGTTTCCTCTTTTTACACCTGAATTCCCACTTGATGATCTCTGGGGTTCAACACTTGTTCTGTGTTCAACTCTTGGACTGGAAGGACTCCTGGGAAGGATTTTTAAATATGACTCCTTCCCAGAAGGACTCCTAAACAGAGTCAATAGTGTTTGTGCTTTTATGAGAAGCTGTTGTAGGTAGTACAGATTTACCCCACTGCCTTTTGACAAGCAAGAGTGAATGGCTTGCAATTATAGATTAGGAAATGTGCTAGACAGAATTATTGTGGAGAATAGAGCACAAATTTGGATTTAATATAAAACTAACATTAATAGGCAGGGGTAATTTCAAGGCATGAGGATTTTTTTTAAGCCACACTTTGTCCTATTATGGCACTTTATTGGCATTTCTGCTTAAAATTAAATAGCTTTCAGTACAACGTATATTCATCATGAGCATGTTAACGGATATAATCATACCTCTCGATGCTCATAAATGGCTTTTGATATTTCCCAGAATTCCATTAAATTGCTTTATATTTTTCTGTATCTGCATTTCAAGCATCCTTCCTATAAGTGTTCATATAAAGTAACAGAAATAAAAGTTTACCCTCTGTTGGTGGATAAACTCTGATAATTCTGCCTAGCATATTTTTGGCTTCCTCCATAAATAGCATTTCAAGCATCCTTCCTATAAGTGTTCGTGTAAAGTAACAGAAATATTTGATTGTCCAAAGTTTACACTCTGTTGGTGGGTAAACTCTGATAATTCTGCCTAGCATATTTTTGGCTTCCTCCATAAATACAGAATAATCTAAATTGCTCCCTTGGGTTCCATACAATTGTTGGTCCAACCCCTATTGGCTGAAATCCAGTTACTTAGTGCAGTAAGTCTCACTAGAGCAGGCCCACTGAATTAGTGGGGATTTGGTGAGTCAACTCCTCCATATTTTCCATTGATTCACATAAGCCTAGTCTAGTCATAACTTACTTCACCATAGTAAATCATAACTAGAGTGGGTGCATTTGAATCAGTGGTACTTATGGGTGACTTGGCTCATCAAATCCCCACTGATTTGGTGGGTCTGCTCTAGTGAGACTTGCTATCTTAAGCAATAGGATTTAAGGCAATAAATATAATTTCAGATAGGAATTACTTCCCGTAGCCATTTGAAATGATCTGTTGCTACACTGAGGTGACAGTAAAATATACAAACTTGGCTTTGAAAACCTACAAAACCTCCAGCTTGCAAAAAGTGAAAGGTTACAGCAGTAGAGAGAAAAACTCCACACCAGGAGCGAAAATAGCCAGACTGATTCGAATTGGCCTTTATGTCATGTGATCAGCACAAAAAAAGTGAATAGTCCATTTTATAGCTGCACTAAATCCCTCAACATTTGACCTTGTAGTCACAGCATCAGTTTTTTTTTCCATATGGGGGAGAACTGAATTCTTGTTTAAGAATTTACAGTGGTGCCTTGCATCACGACGTTAATTTGTTCCAGCGAAATCGCTGTAGAACGAAAACGTCGTGATGCAATTTTAAAAAGCCCACAGAAACGCTTTAAAACCAGATTAATGCATTCCTAGGGGCTTCAAGGTCACCATCCAGTGAAGATCCTCCATAGCGCGACCATTTTTGCTGCCTGTGCAGCGAGGAATCTGTGCGAAAACACAGCGGGGGGCCATTTTGTTTACCCAGCGGCCATTTTGAAACCACCAATCAACTGTTAAAAAATCATCGCAAAGCGAAATTCCCCCATAGGGAACATCGTTTTGCGATCGCTTTTGCAATCGCAAAAAGTTCATCGTGATGCGATTTTGTCGTCAAACAGAGTGCCCGTCTTGCAGGGCACCACTGTATTTCTGTGATTTGGGGCCTTTCTTGTCTTTAGTTTCCTAGATAGTGCTGTTCAATATAATGGAAAGGGGAAAAAGTCGCAGAAAGAAAAATAGTCCAGTATGCCCTAATGCAATATAAAAGCTGACTAAATTGCAGAGTTCAGCAGTTACCATATTTTTCCGTGTATGATACCCCCCAGTTTGCTAACCCCAAATTAAGAAATCTAAGTGGGCCTTAGCAAACGTAGAGGAAAAGGGATCAAAGCACTGCAGGATCTCTTTGATACCTGGTTTCTTCCTTCGTGCTAAGCCCTGCAGGGTTTAGCAAAAGGAGGGGGAAAGGGATCAAAACAATCCCACGACTGCATGATCATTTTAATCCCTTTCCCCCTACACTTGCTAAGCCCCATGGGACTTAGTAAGCAGAGGGGAAAGCAAGGATCAAAGCCATCCTGCAGTGCTTTGATCCCTGCTTTCCTTTTGCTAAGGCTTAGCAAGTGGAGGGGAAAGCAGTCATCAAAGGCCTGCAGGATCACTTTGATCCCTGCTTTCCCCTCCACTTGGTTTTTTCTCTCCTCAGCTTCTGTGTATAAGACAACCTCAATTTTTATTCTAAAGATTTTAGACAAAAGTATACGTGGAAAAATACAGTATCTCATACTGACCAGAGAAGGAATGAAACAGGATCATCCTGGAAAGAAAAAAATCAGATTAAAGGAATTATAAACTTCACTGTCCACATTGATCAATCTTGTGTTGTAAATACATTTTTATAAAAAAAAGAAAACAAAAAATCATCCACAAATTAGGTTTGAAAATGTGGCACACAGCCCAGCACACAACACAACAGAAAGCACACTGAAGTGCAACAATAAAATTGTGATGTCATGGATTTCCTGTCAAAAGTGAGTGAATGAAAAAGGGCAATTCTAGAAAAAAGGATTGGTGTGTGAAAACATCTAGTACTACAGATCTGGTGCCCCTGGAATAGCATCTCAAGTGCTATAGAATAGATGAAATCCATTTCTGTATTGTCAAGGGGGAGGAAGACTCTGTGTGTGTGTGTGTGAGAGAGAGAGAGAGAGAGAGACAGACAGAGAGAGGTTCCCCCTGTGAAGATGCAGGTCAGACCTGGCCTCTCTTATGCTAGAACTCTTATGTTTAACGAAGAAGGGAAAGGATTCTCATCAGTGAGCACCTTCCATTGCACACTGTCCCCAGGATTATGGGACTGCAGTGTTGACCTGCTTTCACACTCACCTTTCCTCCTAAAATGGCTGCTATGGTTTACTTTCCTTTTAAAACGGGGAGTCTGTATATTGTTAAATGTTTGCATTCTATCTCTCTCTGTATGTTCTATTATGCTGTTTTCTGTGTCCCTTGCGCGAGTGACACGGGTAGATCTAGGTCTAGGTCATTGTCTCCAGACTTGATTTCTGTGTGATTGCTTGCAGCTAGTCAGTCTGAGGACCAACTTTGGTGAATATACAGTACTGCCACTACATTTCTCAGTCATGCCAAGGATTGTGGGAGTAGATAAGTAATTCAACCCCTACAAAAGGCAGTAGCTTTGGCTGTGGAGAAACTTGACCAGAAGATCTGTGGAGTCTTGAGCAGCTAAATCATCACTGAAACTCCCTTGTCCTTGTGTATCATCCTGTGCTACTACCAACTGAAGTCCAAAGTCAAAGTCTGAAATTCTGTTCCATAAATTATGCCACAGAAGTATGATTTCCTGGCGGCAGCAATTCTTGGAAATTAGACTGCCCCTCCCCATCTGCACCTCCCGAAGGCTTGTCATGGCTAGACAGAATTGTTACATGGCCTTAAGTTTGTAGGAGGCTACGAATTGTTGGGCTGAAAGGAACTTGAAATGTACAAAGTATTTATGAGACTAAAATAATTCACAAATGAAAAGGATGAACTTTCCAGTCCTTGGAGTAACTGTTAATTAGGAACTGGCCAAGTACGGATAGATGCTGGTCACACTATGTTTTGGTTTGGCTGTTATGAAGCACAGCACAGTTACAGTACAGAGTTGCAGTCATCATGACAAAAGAGTGAAATGCAGCTCCAGCTGAAGGCAAAATCTCAGGGACACCACAATACAAGTAAATGCTCCAACTGCTGATAAAGATGAAGAAAGCATTGAAAAGTTCTGTGAAGAAATCAGATCTGTTATAGAACATATAAAGAAGCAAGACCTAGGTTTCATAATGGGGCTGTGTGTGGTTCGATGCTAAAATAGGAAAAGGAATCTATTGAGAGTTTGTTGGAAAATACAGACTAGGAACATGAAATAAATGAGGAAGAAGAAGAACACCATATTTAGATCACCACATGAGAGACTCTGGAAATCTCTGCAAGATGGCCCTAACAACAAGTGTTAGGAATCTAATAATTTTTATTCTAGTTAATTAGGGACACTAAAAATGTGTTACATTGGTGAAGACATTGGTGAAGACATATCCTATAGCTAACATAAATTGAGGTCATAATCCTGTTGTTTTTATTGTCTCAAAATGAATTCGTAAAAATTTAAAAACAGAAAAATTGTAGAAATTAAACTGAGGGGTTCATGAAGGCATCACTAATATTATCCACTCGGATAGAAGCAAGAGAGTGAAGAAGTACCAAGGCAAATGAATGAAAAACAGAAAGCTAGAATACTTTGGTCACATAATGAGAAATACAAAGAATGGATTGTTTCATCTATTCATTCAAGGTAAAAAGTGGGGAGGAGGAGTTTTGTAGGAAAGGAAAAGAGTTTTATAGCTGAAGAAGTTTGGATGCAACTCAACGTCATTGTTTAGAGATGCCACATCCAAAGTCAGTATACCTGTGTGGATGACCATCCTCTGGTAGGAACAGAATGAGCAGAAGAGCAAAAGCAGCAGTTTTTGATGGGAGGAAGATGGTGTTCAAAGGATGGGAAGGTTTCAGGAGTGTTTGTTTGTTTATTTGTTTTTTAAATCATAAACTACAGACTAGATTTTCCTGCTGTTCTGCATTGGTGGCATGAGTCGGGCACGGGTTTGGCTATCCTGAAAGTACTGATGTTGGAGCTGTCCAAAATAGTCTGCATATAAAATTAATTTATTTAATGCATTCCAATAAATGCTATCAGAATTGCATATCAGGTTATTAAAGATTTTATTGCAATATAACAATGGATGGAACAGTATATTCAGGATTGAAAAATTGTTTGTCAACATGAAACAGATTTTTTTTTACCTTAAACTGGCTGTTGTTACTTTGAGTGGCTGCAAAGCAGTTGCAAAACAATGTTGAGTTTACGTATACGTTGTAACTAGGGTGCTTGTGGTGGAGCACCGTCTGAATCTCAGCCAAAGTGCCATTATGCCGTGTGTTCTTTTCTAGTCACTTGATATGCTTTTGTTCTGTTATTGTTTGGATGTGCCTGTCATTTTTCAGTTGTTAGCTTGATACAGTACATTGTCTCTGTTGTGGCAAATGGTTGCAAAAAGTGAGCTAACAAAGAGCGTGGTCACAGTATGAAAATGAATTCAGTAGCTGGGTCCGGTGTTTAAAAATTGAGGTAAAGTTGTGTGGAAGTCACGTGGTATTTGAGTCAGTGTGTATGTCCTCATGGGAAATTTTGAATCCATTTTCAAACTGTATTGTAAATTGGTTGAGGCGGCTACATGGGCTTTTGAAATGATTGCAATTGAGGCTTTGTCTTGTGCCTGCCTGCCTCCCTGCTCTTGAAAAAGCACAGCACCTTCTAGGCTTACAAGGGAGGGATATCACTACGTCAAACAGAGGCTTCTCACCAGAGAGAGATGAAGAGGAAGGCCTGCAATTCCCGTCCTGCTGGCTGCTGTGGTTTTTTTTTTAAAATCTTTTGCTATGTCAGGCAGAGGCTCCTCACCCCCATCCCCCCTACACACAGAGGGAAGGGAAGCTTGTGATTCCCCCCTTGCCCCATCCCTCCACAAACCACACACAGAGGGAAGCGAGGATTGCCAAGGAGGGAGACAAACACACATATGGGTAGAGAAGGGTGCAATTTAAACCAACAGAAGCATTCATGTAAGACAAAACAATTCAAAATAAATCAATTTGACATCCAAGTTTAAATAAATGACCCCCTGATGGAAGAGTAATTTGACATCCAAGTTAAAATAAATGACCCCCTGATGGAAGAGTGTTTCTGATCAGAATAACACAATTCCTGTCAAAACAGTCTGTACTACCATGTGCATCATATAGGTTCATAAGCAGTGTTAAATATGGTCAAAACATAAAGGGAGGGATAGGGATACCACAATTAATAAAGTATTATGAAGTCTTTCAAATTACTCAAGTAATAAAGTTTAAACGGACAGAAGAAATTACACAACGGAACCTATTAGAAAGAAGGAGCAAGTACAAAATCCTTATACTTGTGAGACATTGAAAATATGGCATAAATATATGAGGTTATTTGCTCTGACTATATCCCTTCTACACCCCATGCTGGATTATCTGAAATTTAAATCAAGAGAAAAATATATACAATTCAAAAATTGGAAAAGAATTGGAATTTATAGAATAATAGGTCAATTTGATGCAGGGAAACCAATAACAATTAGACACTTAGAGGACAAAACAAAGGAAATACAGTAAAAACTAATTGGTTACATTTAATGCAGATAAGAAATTTGGCAACTCATTTATACCAGACCTCTGGACTAATGAGAACACTCACAGAACTAGAACAATATAGTACAGAAAAAGATCGAAATAAAAGGAAGGGAATAACTTCAGTAATATATAAACACTTGGTTGAGAAAGCATTTTCCATGGGTATGGGATCTAAAATAACATGGGAAACAAATTTGAATATCAGTATATCAGAGAAAGAATTGATGGAAATATGGACCATATATCCATATAAATCAATATCAGTTAAAACAAAAGAAATGGTCTTGAAGGTAGTCAATAGATGGTATTGGCACTCCACAAAATTACACAGAATTAATAAATCTCAAATAGGTGCTAGAGAAACTGTGGAAGTAAAGGCACACTAGAACACATGTGGATCTCTTGCCCCAAAATGGAAGCATATTGGCAGGAAATAATTAAATGGATAGAAACACTGTTGAATCAAAAAATAATTAAAAATGAAGCTTTATTATTATTTTCAGTATTTAAGGATGGAAATGAAAAATTATTTAATAAAGACCTAATTGGACATCTTATTGGTACAGCAAGAGCTGAAATTGCACAAAACTGGAGAAATGCTCAAGATCTTTCAGTACGAAAATTTGAGAACAGAATCTGGTAAATGGTTCTGATGGAAAAGTTGACCAATCAAATTAAAATATATAGAGAGGAAATAAAACAGGAAAAATTCATGAAAACCTGGCAACCATTATTAACATATGGAATTAGCTCAAGAAAAAAAGAATATGAAATGGGAAGTAATTTGGATTGCTGGCATGTAATATTTTAAAAGAATTAACTAAGCATGTTAAAATATGAAGTAGTGGATGTGTAAAGAAAGATAATGTGCTGATAGACTGTGTAAGTAATGTAATAGCATCATACTACAATTCTAACTTGGATTGTCATACTATGGATGCTAATAAAATAATATTTTTAAAAATATACTCACCTTTTTAAAAGATCAGTTTAAATATGCTAAACCTGATTCAAGCACATTTTCCCCTAGTGTAACTGAGCTCTTAGGGAATGCAGAGAAACAGACAGAACAGCTTGGAATTCTGGTTGACTTTGTAGGCCTTCCAAGACTACTTACCATGTTCTTTTCGCTTTGAATACAGCAGACCTGAGCTGCATGAATTATGACTGATAATGTAGAAGTCCCAGGGACAGTAAAGAAAGTCTCTCTGTCTCTCTCTCTCTCTCAAAAGAAAGCAGCATGAGTTTTGCTCCTAAGGTTTGCATGTCAAAACTTCAAAAGCACGGAATGACTGTCTACCTGAGCAAGCTCTCCCTGGCCAGGGAAAACTTTAAAAAACAAGCATTGGGGTAAAGGTCATTCCATGACAGGCTACTATCATCAGATAATAAAGAATATGGCATATCAACATTTATATTTATTTTGTTAGGATTTTCATGTGCCTTTGTTTCTAAGATGGGTTACTAAACTAGATACGTATATAAGCTGATTTCTAGCACAGTTGCAATGCCTGCAGGTAAAATCACTCCTTAGATATCTCACGTACCTGGAAAGCCCTATTAGGGTTGATATACTGTAATTCAGTTCTGACTTGACGGCACAGAACCACAAAGACTAGAAAAAGAGAAACACCAAGAACAGAAAATGGCTTCTTAAAAAGTATATGTTTTTTTCTTTCTAGGTGGTATCTTGGGAACCCTTGGAGATCACAAAATGGCCATGTACTTGATCTCTCTCTCTCTCTCTCTCTCTCTCTGTGTGTGTGTGAGTGTGAGTGTGAGTGAGACTTGCATGCAAAAGTCTTACCAGCCAAAATCCTGTTGCTTACCACAGGGTTGTGTACATGGCTGGGCTGGAGTAGGCTAGGAGTTCCAGTGTGCTATTTGGTGCAATCCTTGTATCCAAATGGCATAGGGACCTCAAATGACCCTATTTGGTCCTTTTTTTAAAAAATGTATGTATATTACACATATGTGTATTATTATCTAATAAATATATTAGATACATATGTATATGCCTAATACACATCCCTAATATACTTATCTCAGAGGTCCAGTTATAAACCTACTGCAGCCTAATACACATACCTAATACAGAAATATATTTTCCTTGTCTTAAAAAGCCAGCTGAGAAACTACCATGATAGCAGATTTGGCTGCAGGCAGTTTTTCAACTGGCCCTCTAAGACAAAAAGACAAAGAAAAGATTTTTTTTAAAATGTTGGTAAGTGATGTTTCACGTTTTCACTGCCCTAATGGAGGCTAAAATATATTTTCACTTCCTCTGTTGTTTAATTTGCCAATATCCTGAAGTGGCTCTATTAAGCCAATTTACAATATTGGCAAATCCAAAAAAAGGAAGGCTTTTGGTTCAAAAATCTAATTCACTGAGCTATCCAGCTGGCCATGTATGAACCATACAGATGAATTATTACTTAGTTATCACATTTGTAAAACTCTTATTTCTTCACAGCTGTTGTCAAAGCCCAAATTTAGTGGCGTTGAAAAGATCAAGACCATTGGAAGCACTTACATGGCAGCCACAGGATTAAGTGCAACACCCAGTCAAGAACACAGTCAGGTATACATCACTACAATGCACAGTTGATCGTGACCAGACTTATTAGTCTGGGTTGCAAAGGGCAACGAGTTGAGTTGTGTGTGTGCAGCATAGCTTCAAGGTCATCCTGTTCAAATGACCCGTCCCTTATCCAGGGAGCATCCTGTGTAAGGCCTGTTTGCCTTACCTGTTGCTTCCCTGCACATGTTCATCCCTGTGTTCCTGTCAAAGAAAGCAGTCTGTTGGGAGCAGTCTGCAATAGAAACAGCCGGTTCAATCCTCACTATATGCTGTGAAGTTCACTTTTTCACCCCATAATGAATGATTTATTTTGTTCAGTATTGTATTTTTGACTAACTTTATTACAAACTTTACATTTGTAAAATGCACTTCTCTGAAATGAAATACAGAAGAATACTACTTGAATGTTCTAAATTTTCGTATATTTTAAAATCTGAAACTAATAAACTACTTTCTCATTTATGTATACTGTTTTTGTAGTCACTGTGGAACAGCCATGAGAACTGCAAAATATCAGATGGAAAGTAGTGCTCATAGAAATTTGCTGTTCCCTATGTGTGAATATTAGAAAAAATCTCAACTATAATTTGTGAAATGAGCCTAAACTTTTCTTACAAATCTACATTATACTGCCTGTATATCATACCCCTTGCCATGTCTTCCCATCCAAGAGAGAACTGATTCATTGGAAGGTCTTTTGTCTGGAAACAGTCTGACACGACTATGTGTATCTAGGGGCTTACAAACACTTCAACTAGCTCTGAATGCAGGGTGATCTATCATTCCTGATTTCCCATCAGAATGTCTACAATGTAAAGCGGAACTATGCATATGGAAAAAATGAATTTAAATAGTGTACATTCTAACCCTACATGTGTTTACTTAGAACTAAGTCCCACGGAGGTCAATTATTTGGTTTATTTTTAAATTATCAATAGCTGTCTCATTTCTTTTGATTATGAACAACTCAAAGAGTTAATGTGCATAAGATCGCCTAAAGAATTAAGATACTTCCTCTCAGAAAGTTAACAATATCCATATGGGGGTTTACACAGAACAAATGTAGGGAAAATATTTTGATGAATGCAGTTGCCTTATTTGACTACGTGTGTTTGTTTAAATTCAGGAGACTGAGCGACAGTACATGCATATCGGAACCATGGTGGAGTTTGCATTTGCCCTTGGAGCAAAACTGGATGTTATAAATAAGCATTCTTTCAATGACTTCAAGCTGCGAGTCGGTAAGAAGCATAAATCATGCGAAAGCTGCAAGGGATTAGATCCAATTTTTTTCACACTACCAATGGTTTAAGTTCTTCTACTTTGTTATTTCACTGTCTTCCATTTGCATTAAAAAGATTTTCCTCTTTCCACCCCTGATAATCTCAGTGCACTGCCACAGATTAAAAAAATAGAGGCGAGGACACTTCGCTACAAAAAGGTTAGAGAAATAACACATTTGTGTTTCAAGAGGACTGTAATAATAATGAAAAGAACACAGTGGCTTAAAATGATTTCAGTTCACAGCAAAAAGTTACCAGAGTTTCTAGAAGTTCACCATTAGCTAGGGAAAGGCTATGGAAAGTAAGCATTAGAACCAGTCTTCCCATTAACTAAAATGGGGTGGCAAAAAATCAACAGTAGCTAACCCTCCCCCTACCCACTCAGGGCTGCCACCACTGCTGCTTTAGAGCCTCTTCTCAGCCATTCACATATTACATCACACTGCATCACTCTGGGCCTGTCCATATTGAGCATTTCCTCAGCTTTCCTTGTGCCCATGATGCTCAGGTTGCATCCCAGTGTCCACATGATGCAAGACTGAAACTGTTGTCAGCAGGGTCAAAGCAGAACCAAAAACAAACAAACAAACAAAACTTACATCTCTCTCTCTCTCTCTTTTTTGCACCACATCTGGTTGGTGGTATATTTTTGCTCTGCAATTTTCTCTAGTGTGTGATCTGCTTATATATGACCTGCAGTAACATATGACACTCGCCCTCCCCCCAGTTCATGGATCAGCAATGCATATGATGCATGTTGGTGATCCATGCACTTTGGGTGTGTGTGTCATTTGATGACATTTCCTTATGGGCCTGTTTCTGCTGGTCATTCTCCACCCCTCCACACCTGTCACTCTGTTTTTAGCGGAGAAGGTATCCACCGTTTCTACATTTTGCTTTTTTGTTCTTTTTAAGAAAGTAAAGCTTGACGATTACCTCGTTAGACGAGGAAATTGCGTAACAACGAATATTTTGTGATCGCTATAGCGATCGCAAAATGATGCTTTAAAAGGAAAAAAAATCACTTCACGATGATTGGTTCCGTGCTTCGGGAACCGAATTTTCGCTTTACGACAATCAAAACAGCTGATTGTCGGGTTTCAGAATGGTCGCCTGCTGTTTCAAAATGGCTCCCCGCTGTGTTTAGGAAGGCTTTTTCGCTGTACAGGCACTGGAAAATGGCCGCCCTATGGAGGATCTTCGCTGGACCCTGAGGTATTTTGCCCATTGGGACGCATTTCAATGGGTTTTTTAATTTCGCTTGACAACGATTTCATTCTACAGCGAATTTGCTGGAACAGATTATCCTCGTCAAGTGAGGCACCACTGTACTTTTGCCCACAGCACAAAAGCAAAAGCTAAAAAACACAAATTAACATAAGAAAGCATTTCAACCAAAAACATGAAAGTCTGAGAGTGGTGGGTGAGTAAAACAAGCAGAAAAGCAAGGAGTCCATGGAGATGGCAAGGGGAGGGTGGAGAAGACAGGCAAAAGGGGAAGACACTCATTCTGGGGGAAAGACTATAAAGAGCTATTCCAGATATTCGTGGAGCCAAGGGCGACCCAGCACATCCAAGTACATCCAGAAACACTTACCCTCCTTGTACATGCAAATCACTGAGGCAACGTATTCAAATCTGCAAGGACGAAAAAGAATAAAAATAGGAAAAAATGCCAGAATGACTAGAGACAACATTAAGTGTTGACAAGCCCTCTGATAGATCCCTTTTCACAGCCAGGCTTTGTGCACGGGATAATCTGGGAGACTGAATATGTCAGTCAAGACAGCACAGTTGATCTCCTGAAGCTTTCTGCCCGCCCGTGTCCAATTCTGAGGATGGACCCCTTGGAGCAAGGACCTCAGTAACAGCAGCAGCAACAACAACAGCAAGAAGAAGCAACAAGGAGGGTGGGTGGGGTGTGCGGTGGCCCTTTTCCAGCCTCAGTTGGCAGGAGGGTTTGGGCTTCCTCTGGTATGAATACCTATATTGATATAGGAAGTTGCTGCTGTAATTTTTATTGAAAAAAGGTTGAGATAGTGACTATGTAATGAATGTCACTAGGACAAAAAATTGTTACAAGGCAAAAGGCACCATAAGCTTGTTGGTTTCCTCTTGTGGGGCAGAGGGCAGGTTTCTTTAAAAGACGTTGAGGGGGGACATCACTTTCTGTTCATTAGGGGAAATACTGATTTTTTTTTTAAAAAAGTGAAATTAATCATTGTACTGCTTTGATCTCAGTGATTTTTTTTATATCTAAGGGAACCAACTGTATATTATACACATATTGGACAAGCATATTGAAAAATACCATACCAGCTTGGAGATGTGGGCAAAATCTCACTTAATGGATTACATTACATTTCTCCTCTGTTACCTCATTTGTTTCCCCACAGATCTCTTAGACCATTTTTAAAAACAAAGCAGAAGTGTCAGTTTTATCCAATTACATTTTTCATTCTTTCTTTCATTAAAATACTTAATCAGCATGTTAGTGTGAAAAATTAAATTCATGATTGACAGAGATTCATTTCAAGAATCTAACCTCCCTTAGAAATAAGAAATTGAAGCAGTGAATAAATGAAAAATTGTATTCTGTACATATATCTGAAATATTTTATTTTAAATGTAACAATATTTTTTCTTTTTGTTTTCATTTTATTCTATAGAATTCCAAAGTAGCCTTCCTATTTGTTCAGTTTAGTGAATAGTGGCACCTAGTGGCAAAAATTGGTAAATGTAATCAATAAATATATGTGTTTTCTAACAGTTAAAATTTAGAAAGATATTTGGTCAATGACCGTAATAAACATTTATTATTATTATTTTGTCATTAAGGCTATCTATCCAGAGAGGAAAAGATGAAAGTTACATTTTTTTTCCTTTGACATATGCTCAATCATCTCCTTCTTTTCTATAACTTTATAACTATAAACAAAAATCAGTAGTTGAACAAATTTCATTTCCATCACACACCTTTCACCACTGCACCACAGAAAGAAAGCAGTAAACTTCACAAAGTTCAAACATGGTAGCATCAAAATATATTGCCAACCACTGCATAAATTCACTTAATACTTTGGAATTTCCCCATTTCCAGACCACTGTACTTGGTAATCTTTAATGGCCATATCAAGAAGTGTCACTCTGTTGGAGCAAAATTCCCCAAGCATGAAATAGGGAAGGGTCCAGTTTTCAGAGCCAAAAAGGTCAGGAAAGTGATAAGGTGAGAAGTTTCCCCATCAGTGTTTACCTCCCTGTAGTCTGATCATGGTCAATTTGGATTTCAAGGTACAAATCTGCCAGCATCATATCTGATTGGATCTTTCGATTATTTGTGTGGCAAATCTCAGGTTTCTGTGCTGATATGTAAGTATCCTAACACTTTTGATACTTGTATGGGGTAAAGTCAGTCACTCTGAAGCATCTTTGTTTATATGAAGAGAAAAACAAAGAAGTGTGTGTGTGTGTGGTTTTTTTAATGTGTGTGGGGTTTTTTTGTTTGTTTGTTTTTTACAGGTATTAATCATGGACCTGTAATTGCTGGTGTCATTGGAGCTCAGAAACCACAGTATGACATCTGGGGCAACACTGTAAATGTAGCCAGTCGGATGGACAGCACTGGTGTGTTAGATAAAATACAGGTATGTATCTTTGCTAATAGTCAACAATACATATTGTATATAGCAGAGGAATCTTCAAACTAAAAAAATTTAATAGCATGCTAAAATAACATAAAATAAAAATATCGATTAACAAACTTAACATAAATCATAGCATGCTAAAATAGAGGATACTGCCCAGGTATAAAACAACCACAGTATGACATCTGGGGCAACACTGTAAATGTAGCCAGTCGGATGGACAGCACTGGTGTGTTAGATAAAATACAGGTATGTATCTTTGCTAATAGTCAACAATACATATTGTATATAGCAGAGGAATCTTCAAACTAAAAAAATTTAATAGCATGCTAAAATAGAGGATATTGCCCAGGTATAAAACGTTGGCTCACTAATTAAGGATAGCAAGAGGCCATCAGAAAATAAACACATTTTAAAGTGCTGTGACTGCTATTAAAATACATAGGAAACTTTCTTAGAGGTTGCAGCAGTTCCCCCCCTCTTTCCAACCAAGGCCCATTTCTGATCTAAAATAGCTCCACTGCATTTTGTTAAAAACCTATTATGTTGTTCCCAATGGTCTCTGTGAGGTAGTTGAACTTAAAAGAGGCTTGAGTTGCTATATTCTATTAGTTTGGAAGAGGGACGATTTTGCAGGCTTACTGTTTCATAAAAGGATAGATCAAGTATACCTATCAAAATAATTTCTTTTGCACAATTCTAAAGAAAAGAACCTCTGCTGGCCCTTGTCTTTGCTTACCTTTTTCCAATTCCCAAGGCTTCTAATTTAAAAAGAATCTCAAATCAACAAACTGGAATATAATAGCTGTGGTGCCACTGGTGGAGCACACTTTAGATCTGGATGCAGATCGCTAATTCACCAGGAAAAAAATTGAGTGGTCTAGAAATCATTGGTACAGAATCTATAGAATATAGAGTCTGTTATTATTCTAAAAAAATAAGCCTGGATAAGAATTTACACTTCTCTTTTGTTCCTTTACTGATTCTCATATGCAACAAGAAATAACCATAACTTTTGGCTCTTCCAGATGGAAAATTTATTTCCCTTCCCTTTTTGCCACTTGGTGCAGTTTGTGTCTTGACAAACCTGTTACTCTTTAAAAAAGAGGCAAGAAAGATACTTCTCTTTAAGAGAAGAAATCAACTTTCCTTTTGAATCTTCTCTGCTGGAGTGTTTCCCCCACCCCTTTCTTAAAGTACTTTTGAGTGCCACTTGAAAGTTTCTGACTGGGAAAATTTCACCCTGATGTGAACGTTAGTGAAAAGCACTACAGTGCTAATCTTCACATCTTAGAACAGAGCAAACTAAAAGTAACATAAAATAATTTTTTAAAAAAACACCTTCAGGAGGTACAAACAAGTATGGAAAGTCAGTGTACTAACTAAGACAAGATAAACATCATGTAGATGGCTGGAAAAATACTGGTAACAATAGTACTGAGTCAAGTACGTTACAGGAGAACAAATGCTCTGTCTGGACAAGCTTTAAATCCCACTGATTCCAATGGGTATACCATGGATATGAGATTTCTTCAAACTCAGTACGTTCCGGATCACTTACCTGCTCGTTGAACAGACCCTGCACAGGGTTCTTCTCTGTGAGATGAAGCCAAGTGTTCAGTGAATTTCCATTTTTATGTCAGTTCATTTGCTCCAGATTCATAGGGAAAGGATAGAAAACAGGACTTTTAAGCAGACCTAAATTTACTTGAAAAAACAATCAGATTCTTTCTACATTTCAGGTCACAGAAGAGACCAGTAACGTCTTACAAACTCTGGGTTACATTTGCACCTGCCGGGGCATCATTAACGTCAAAGGAAAAGGAGAGCTTCAGACCTATTTTGTACATACTGAAACGACAAAGTCCCTTTCACAAGGGAATGTGGCATCCTGAAATATGCTCTTTGCAGTAGGCAGTCCCGCCTTTTTAGAGAAAAAAGCATCACACGTTTTTTCTTAACTCTTTTTTGAGCCATACCATGAACATGTGTGTCATTTTCTGGTACATAGACATGTTGCTGTAGTCATGTCTACAGTGTAGTCGCACCATCCAACATCAAGAAACCTCAGTAGTCTTAAGGTTCTAAGACGGCGGTGAAGTACATGCTGTGGGTTGAGGAGACAAAGAGCAATTTTCATATGGGAAAAGAGAGAGAGAGAGAGGATACTTCCATGCAGTTTGAGAACCTAAAAGGTCTGAGATTCAGGGCGCAAGCTGAGGAGGTGGAGAGTGAAAACAAAAATATACAAAATGTATGGCAATAAAACTAGAGCTGCATGGAAAATTGTGGAAAGTATGCTAGCTCCCCAACAACATCCACTAGTCCTCCGTTTGTAATATCTAATCCCATCCCTTCATCTACAACCACCAAGGTGTGTTTCAGTGGCCAGCAACACAAAATGGAAACCCCGGCTGACTTCTTTTTCAAAGGAATTTGTAGCTGAGCAGGACCAGTTTTGTATAAAATGTGTCTAATGTTTTGATGCCATTGTCTTTTGTAATATTAATTCATTAAAAGTTTATATGTACTTTGGTTGTTTTATTATTAATATTACGGCCACTGCATATATACAGAACTAGGGGAAGCACACTGTGCTTTAAAGTGTAAGCAAAAAGAAAAAAATAGAATACCAAGGAATTTATAGTTTTACGGTGTGGAAGACAACAAAGGAAGGAGACAAGGATGAGGCCAAGATGAACAAGATGAATATGAACAAATGCTATCATTCATACTTCTTATTTGTTATTAGTAGTAACTTTTCTGCTGTGTGTATAGCATCTATAGAGAGTAGCAATGGGGATACTCTCCCCCAAGAATACTGTACTATTTTAATGTGTACAGACCGACACACTATGTTATAATGGTGCATACTATGCATATGGTTTATACGAATCAGGCTCCCTTCCCGCCCCCACCCCCCTCGCCGCCCAAATTCCTCTGAATAATCTTGTGTGAAATTTACTTCCTCATTTCAGCACCTTGGTATTACTTTGCACTGTTTCAGTGTAACAATAAGTAATTTTGCTGTGATTGCATTAAAAAATAACTACCCTAACCCTATGTACAGAAAGGAGCAATTCAGGAAGTCATTTCAAAGGGCAAGTTACTTCTCAGGAATTTTCCCCAGCCAGGTTCATGAGGACACAATAAAACAGGCTGAGTCTGTAAACAGGGTTTAAAGACACAGAAGCCCTAAAATGGTTTCATCATACCTTGCCTGAGCCAAGTAGACAGGATGGCGCTGTGCTTGTATCTTTTTTAGATTGTGATTATGCTGTGGTTTGATTCGCAGCATGTACTGTATTATGACACAGAAGCCCTAAAATGGTTTCATCATGCCTTGCCTGGGCCAAGTAGACAGGATGGCGCTGCGCTTGTATCTTTTTTAGATTGTAATTATGCTGTGGTTTGATTCGCAGCATTTGTTACATTTGAAATCACAGCCAGTGCTCACACAGGGACATGAATTGATTTGGGAGTTCAGCTTTCATACTTGATGCAATGCAAGTCACATTCCAGATCATAGTCTTCCTTCTTTCCTTTGGTCCTGCCTCTGCTGTTCCATATGGTTTTAAACTATTGGCATGATAAACTGTGACCAGAAATGAGGTAATTCTTGCTTGTGTTAAAATAAAAGGGGGAAGGTGTTGATCCCTGTTATGGAATCATTCTGATGTGTGAATTATGATGTATTTTGCAAAATTACTTTTTAAAATTTTGATGTTCTGTACTCTTAGACTGTTGAGTGTCTTTCCGTGTTTTTTTTCTATAGAAACGTTTTTGACAAATGTAGTAGTCTGAAGCTTTGAATGAGAAAGCGACTTCACAGAGAATCATAAAAGAATCAGCAGAGGCAGGACCACTTTCAGATCTATCACGTAATTAACAACATTAAGCTTTTGATTCACAACAAAAGGGCCTTCCCACACAATCTGAAGCTTAGTGTGTTTGACAGGATTCAGGAGTGCTACCTGATCCTCCACATTAAAATCATGGTGCTTTGCTTCTGCATGCCCCCACTCCCCTGACCACAACATGATGACCCAAGTGCCTACAGTACTTCACCAAAACACCACATAAAGACATGACCCCTGTCTTTACAAGTTTGTATCACAACTAACTTGAAAAAGTAGAGTTTTTTTTTCTCTGCTCCAGCAGCAGAGAGAAAAAATTGCTCTGAGAGCAAAAAGGGCTGAACCAATTCGAATCAGTCTTTGTGTCACATGGTGAGTAAAAAAATACTTCAAATCCATCAATTTTATAAGGGGAGCAAATCCTGGGTTTTTGACCGTGTAGTTGCACTCTTCCAAAATACTGTTGCAAGCAGGACTAATAAAATATGGAAAGGTAACATGGGAAACTGGATTGCAACAATACTTTACTTTATTGGACTTTTACCCCGCCCCCACCAGACAAAGTCTACTTAGGGCGGCTTACATGAATAAAACAGGAACAATATTACATAGTAGAATCCTACAAACTTATTTCTATATACATTTTCAAGATTCTGCCAAGTGAAAATGAGCAAGGTTGGCATAAAGGTCTCATACAACTGCAGTTATCATCTCTAACAAGGTTGATGATACTGTGCACCACTTGCAATCCCCATCCAAACCTCCACACCAACGAAATGTCTATTTTGATAACTGTATCAAAATTACAAAATTGTCTTCTTATCATCTGCAATGTTGTTTCTCCTTGTATATGAAATAGGAAGGGGTCCTGCACAAAGGCGACATCTCTCCCTCAGGCACCAAACTTTCTGCTGTGTCCTGTCTTAACAGAGTTGCGCTGACGTCAGGATTCCAGGAACAGCTTTGGCTCTTGAGCTTCAAAACTTGAACTTCAAAAGCCAACATCTGGAGCTTCATGCAAGACATATGCTCAGAATTAAGTAACTCTGAGCACAGGGACTTGTTCTGGCTACCATGACAGACCACCACTCATGGCCCTTTAATGCAAAGAGACATTCCTAGGTACCAAAATGTAAACAGTTTGGGGAATGATTTTGTGGTTGCAATTTTTCAAATATTTGGGAGTCAGAAGTTCCTGCTGCTCAATTACAAATCACCCAGAAAGTGCCTGCCTGGCTGCTGCTGCTGCTTTTGCTATGTTGGAGAATTCCACCAGGCACAGCTCTCCTCTCTTCAAGTTTACTGCTGCGATCCTAGCAAACTAGCGTGATTTTGTTTGAAACAGAAGCAGAGATTCTCAAGCTGCTCCACTCTGTGTCCTGGTTTTATGCACAGAGACCAACAGAAGAGAAACAGGCTTGCCATATGATTCCTCCAACCAGTCCTCTTTCGTAGATCAGTTTCCTGACTTAGTAAATAAATAATCAGTGCTCTGCCTGTTCCCCCTCCCCCTTTTGCCTTGTGGGCTTTGTCCTCAACTTTTGGAATGTGGTACGCTCTATATAATATAGATGAGGTTATCTCACATATCAGAAGCTTGATAGCCACAGACAGAATGTATATTGCATATAGTACTACATTTATTCAGAGCCATAATATTAGCAATCACTCCCTCCCTTCTGCTCTTTTGCTATACATTCCTGCACTGTGTATGGAAATACTCTAGTTTTCTAAGCACATATTTTAGTTTGGGGGTGGGCAGGTTGCCTTTAGGAGTTCAAACTAGCAGCTTCAGGTGTTGCTGCCCCGGCAGCCTTTTTCCTCAGCCTTCCAATCCTCCTCATGGTTTGACATCACAGCGTTCACAGACCGTCTCTTAGTAACCAAAGAACTCAGCAGAAGCACAAGCTGGAAAGCGTCGCGGTGGGAGCCCTGATGCCAGCCTGCCTCCCAGCCGAACTTGAGGCTTGGCTGGGGAATGATAGAAGCTCAGAATGGGAAGGAACTGGAAGAAGATTTGGAGGATCTGGGAGGCATCAATGAGAAACTCATAAGGCAACACCAGCTTCCACTTTCAGCACAGTCAGCCTTCAGCTACATCCCACCTCGACGCAATGACCCCATTGAACTCAGCTATTTTCACCAAGAGAGTAAGGTGTGTCCAGAATGAAAAAAAGGGAAGAGGGGAGGATCTGAATGGGTGGTAGTGGGAAGAAACATATTGGAAGGTGGGTTTCTGGAAAAGAATCACCCAAAACCTTTCAGGAGCTTGCACCAAATTCAGACATGTGGCAGTAGTTTTATTTGTCCTCTAGGAAAACTGCCATCTTCTTTTATAACATTTTCTGTTGGAATTAGCTCTCAATTAAGTTGTTTAGAGAATGCTAAAACTACCAATGATCATATTATTGGATTTTCCTCCTCCCCTATATGCATTGTATTGAACGTTATTGCCCTCCCAGTCAAAAAGTGCAGCATTTCAATTTTGTGACAAAAGCAAGGATTTACTATTAGCATTAATAGTGGTATTTACGATATAGTTTGCTTCTCTCGAGGATGCTCAGATCAACAAATAATGTGCAATATAAAAAGAAAAGGGGAAAAATTGGGAAAAAGAAAAAAATATTAAAGATAGGTCACAAATAATTTTGAAAGCGACACGCCTGGTGGAACAATTAAGATTACAAGAATCTCAGTAAGGTAAGGACAGAACTAGCTGTGGGAAGGAGTTCCACAACTGAGATGCTTCTGCAGAGAAACCTCTGTTTTGTGTACAGGTGCTCACCTGTCATCCTCTTCCTGAGATTCCTTAAACACACTGATTATTTTAATTGCTATCAGTATCGAGTCCAAAATGTGAAGCCCATTCACATACAGTATGTGTCTGGCTGAGGTGACCTTATCCCTAAAGTTCACAAGTGCAGATTACTGCTCCAAGCAGGTGTGAGAAACCTGTGGCCCTCAAAATGCTGCAGGATATAACTCCCTCCAGCTCCAGCCAGCACTGCCAATGGACAGGAGGATTTTACTCCAATGACCTCTGGAAGGCAAAAGGTTTTCCCTACCCCTGTCTTAGGACAAGAGCAGCTCCTCCAAGCATGCCTTATCCCAGATGTGTCATGTCAGAGTTTACCTTCTAGTTTCCCGCAATGTGTGGACAGCTGATAGTCCAGATTTTAATGTTAAGAAAGATAGCTGTGAGCAGAAGGTCTTCCCATATCTAAAATTATGGATAAAATATCTACATATGTAGATAGAGAGATTCATGTTCTCTGTTTCTCACATATGGCTAGATGGTGGGATCACCCATTGTGATTGGCAGTTAAGTTCAAGACTAGCTTTTTTAAAAAAACACTTTGTCATATATTGTCTAAATAGTACTACAGTAGATGACCTTGAAATATAAATAGTACTACAGTAGATGACCTTGAAAGAATTTTTTCCGTGTATAATACACCCCCATGTATAAGACCCCCCTTTTCTAACCCAGTATTTCTTTCTTCAGAAGAAAGCGGAGGGCGAAAACAGGAATCATCAAAGCAATTTCTGCTTTTCTACTTTTTCTAACCCAGAATTTCTTTCTTCAGAAGAAAGTGGAGGGGGAAAGCAGGAATCATCAAAGCAATTCATCAAAGCAATTTCTACTTTTCTACTTTTCCCCTCCACTTTCTTCCAAGGAAAGTGCTTTCTCCCTCCAGTTTCCTCACAAGAAAGTGTTTCCCCCTTTCACTTTCCTTGCAAAAAGTGGAGGGGGAAAGCAGGGATCAAAGCACTTTGATCCCTCCCCCTTTATTTTCGTGTATAAGACGACCTAAATTTTTAATATTAATATTTTAAATTTCTACTTTTCTACTTTTCCCCTCCACTTTCTTCCAAGGAAAGTGCTTTCTCCCTCCAGTTTCCTCACAAGAAAGTGTTTCCCCCTTTCACTTTCCTTGCAAAAAGTGGAGGGGGAAAGCAGGGATCAAAGCACTTTGATCCCTCCCCCTTTATTTTCGTGTATAAGACGACCTAAATTTTTAATATTAATATTTTAGAGAAAAGTATCATCTTATACATAGAAAAATACAGCAGGTATTTTTGTGTTAGCATTTACTGTATTTTAGCTATAATCACTAAAATGGAACCTTCTATATTCAGAGGCAGTGTACTTCTGAAATTCCACGTATCAGATGCTGAAGGCAACCACTTGAGGGGGGGGGGCAACTGTTTTCTTGCCCTGTTGGTGGCTTTCCTCAGATTATCTGCATGGCTATGGTTGGCAACAGGGTACTGATCAAAGTGGATCTGATTCTACAGCACTTCTGTGTCTCCAGGGATGGCTGATGATTTCAAAGGACAAGCACCAGTAGAGAAACTGCCCATCACCATACCTCAAGGAAATGGGCTAGTAAAAGTGGTATAGGTTAGGTCATATGTCACGCAGATTTGTTGTCCAAAGGGAAATAATAGCCAGGAGCAGAAGTGCCACAGGGAATGGCCAGTGTTTCCTTCAGCACTTGCTGTCTGAGGTAACTGGCTTACTTTGCCTAATGGTGAGGCCAGCCTTGTGAAACAGCCTCAGTCATACAATTAGAGACTCATAGTTCTCTTCTGCCCCATACCAATCCCTCTGCGTATGGAAACTGCCCACAGTGGATTCAAATTACTATTATCTATCAGTGTCATTAGTATGCGCTTCTGTAATGTTTCCTCTTTCCAATTAATAATATGGTGTTTCTTCCCCCACCTTCTTTATTTTAAGCCAGGAATTGTTTCCATGTATGACTGCATCTTTAAAAGACCCGTTGGCTATGATCCAAAACTTCATCGGTGTGATAGAGAACATGCAAAAAGCAAAGGACTTCATATTAACAATGAGGTGATCATTGCGCTGACTCTATTGATTAGGTTGTACAGTTTGAAATTCTGATGGCAACCATGTTGTTACCTTTCCTTCAGTTATGGTACCCAAGATAAGAGCAAGTACTGCATGCTGTATTATAATGCCTTAATCAAAACTTAGCATCTTCAGGTCAGAATCTTATGCATCTTTAAAGGCAATTCAAAGGGTGATTAAGACGGCCCAAAACATCATTGGCTGTTCTCTCTTTGGAAGAATTGTATAAGAACAGATGTAAGAGGAAGATATCTAACATACTGAAAGACTCCTCTCATCCGGGATATCAGCTCTTTAAACTATTACCATCAGGAAGGAGATTCAGGGTATTGAAAGCAAGGACAAGCAGATTCAAGAACAGTTTTTACCCAAGTGCAGTATTGAGTTTAAATGCGGGGCCATAGGTTTTTGGTGGAATTTTAATTGCTGAGAGAAAACAGGGTATCTATATTTGTATGGTGAGTGTTGTGTATATTTTAACTTTTTTTTGTAAGTGTTGTCCAGTTTTACCTTGGAGAAGAGCACCACATTTCGTTGCACCCACTTGTGAGCGCAATGACAAATAAATTTCTTATGTCTTATGTCTTATCTTTACTGAGGAATAGGTACCATGGAGTTAGATCAAATGAAACTACCCTAGGAGCGCAACACATAACAACTGGGCATGTCAGGAAGTCTTTAATTCCAATCCTATCTCGGTCAGGAATCTCACTGGACAACTTTAATCAAATTGCTGTTACAGCTGGATCTATTTTTTAGGGTTCTTCTGAAGGTAAAACTGAAAGGACAAAAATGTAAAGATGTCAGAGGTTCTTTCAGGGCATCAATATATACGTGTGGCACCAATGAATGTTTTTATAAAGGGTGAATAGACCAGTGTTATGCAGTAATGTACAATTCAAACTTGCAAGATCCACTAGGTTCTAGTCCCTGTTGAGCGACAAAAACTCAGCAGGTGACCTCTCTGCCTCTCATCACCACTGTTGTGTGAATGAAGTGGTGGAAATGCAGGCTATAAAGTAAGCAACCCAACTTGGATTTAAGCACAATCTGAAGTACTGGCAATGCGTTCCAAACAGAAATTGTATTCTGTGCATGCTCTTAGCAACAAACAAACAAACAAACAAACATTCTGTGCATGCTCTTAGTGTGTGTCCCATCTCCCTGCAAGCACACTTTTCCTTGGCTGCTTTCTCCCTTCTGTGCCACATCATGGACCGTCACTGATGAGATCAGGGAAACATCACAGATGAAATCTCCCTAGATTTTACAGGGAGAGCAGGAAGAAGGTGGCAGAGGGCAATTTGGTCGTGCGTTAGCGCCCTTATTGTCAGTTCCAGTCAGACACTGCCTCCAGCAGGAAAGAGCACCCTCCTAGCAATGGATACATGCATCCCAGTTAGTGCCAACTGCCCAGCTCTTGTGAACACTGCTGCTGTCTCTGTTGCCACGGATCTACAGCCACAAAATAGACCGTACATTCTTGAACATTTTCCATTTAGTTCTTTATATATACGTCCCTAAACCACTTTTCGACATTAAAGTGCTCATGAACTCATTTCCTGAACTGAGGCTAGAGATGCTCATCACAACACCCCTCATCTCCTTCCCACGGTGCCAGGGTTTTCCTTGGATGGAGAAATGTATCCTTTTTTAAAGCAGGCATTGTTTAAAATGGGCTTGCATAATCTGAAGAGTTGAAAGATTTGGGAGCAGTTTGTTTGATCAATTTATGGTTTCCTTGTTGCACTTGAAAACAAAGCCAATTATCTCAGAGATGGCTTGCTTCTGTTTGAGATTCTTCCAAATGGAACTTACACGCTAGAAGGAGCTCAGCAGGTCACAGAACTGCCATTCTAGGCAGGCAACGTCACATTGAGCATTGCATTTAGTTTTACCCTTTGTTGCATCTGTTTTTTTTTCATCCCAGAGACCTGACATTTCAAAATATTCTTACAGGAAAAAGCAAGGCCCGTGGCCATTTTGTCCTCCTCTGAATATGGGCGACGCATCGAAAATCCCGTGGATGAGCATTCTCGAGACCACGTACGCATTAACCGCATACAGGCAGAATTTTACAGAAAAAATGGAATAACATGCTTGATAGAAAAATCCACCAGAAGTGCTGATCCAACCTAAGGCTGTCAATGGCAATCCAGAGCAGGAAGGTCTGCTTTTACCTGCTGTCAATTCAAACAGAACATCGTGACTCTGCTGCTCAGTTCTTCCCTAAAATTCAGTCACCTATGACTTTTTTTAAAAAAAGACACTCACTGCATTTGGACATTTGCATAACTAGGAACCTGCATGAATGCTGCACTCATGCACACAGCATAATATCAGAAAATAAAACTCATGGAAGTCTCCACAGCTACTTACATAAAAAGTGATTTCAGCCTTTCTTTTTTCAGAGAAAAAACCCGCTTGCTAAAGTAGCCACATATTTCATCAGTGGGGAGCCATCTCCTTTACTTGTTGTGACCTACTAAAAATATGGCAGTTAACAGCTTTGATTCATAAAGCGATCAAGAATGAAGCAAGTGGAAGCGCCTTTTCTTGTTTAACAGGTTTTCTCTTTTGGAAACAAACCCCTATCTTGTAAATTGCAACCATGTCTAAATACAGCAAACAATAAACACCTTCATCTCTGTGTTTTTGCATTGCTCAAATAATGAATCTGCAAATACTAAAAATCCTAGTTGAAAAGACGTGTGTTTAACTGAATGCCACATTCAACGGGACTAGACATCAAGGCTGCATATGTATTATCTCTCACAAAGTAAAATGCTGCACATCAGCACCTGTACTGGCTCTGCTTTAACTGGATATTCATCACAGTTCACAATACAGTATGTACTCGCCATGCACATGTCCTACATGACACTTTTATTTAATTTCATGTATCTTTAAAGTAGGAAGACATAACCACCAGTATCCTGTTCCATACTGCTCCAACTGCAAAAGCCGCCACAGTTGGGGTGCTACGTAAGGTATGTAAGCTGAATACTGGCCAACGATGGCAAGAGGGGCTATTCTGCTTACGCAAAGCAACCAAGGCCAAGTTAGAAAGCTGAAGGTGGTTTTTTTACTGGTTTTTCTGCTGCCACTCTGTGTGTGAATGAAAATCCCCCTCTACACCGTTTGCTGTCTGTAGCAGAAGTGGGAACCATTCACATCTGCTTTTTCAAGATTTCATCAGGATTTCAGAGAGAGAGAAAAGGGTGTTTCCCCACACAACCCCAGCCAAAATCTGCCCCCTCCCCAGAGGAACAGTAACCAAGACATACCCAACTTTAAGATGCATTTAGCCCTCCAAAAGTCTTTCAACAGTAAGTAGCCTTGTGCATTTCTGAGGGTGGTTCTTTATGCTTTCAGGAGGGTGTGTGTGTGTGTGTGTGTGGGAATCCAAACAACCAGACACTTGATTATTCAAATGACACTCGCTTTAATTTCACAGCAGTACATTCATGCTCAAAAGTAAGCTTAGTTGCACTTTAGTATTTCTTGGCACTTTCTACTTTTGTATCAGTGAAGGACAGAAGCAGAAAATAAGATAAAATAAATTCCCATAATTCCTTTTTAAAAATCAGTGCAGCTTACCACGTCCATCATTTAAACAATGAGCACATAAACCCCAGTCTCCACAGAGAGCTGAGAATAATTTTGATCCTGCTTTAACACAGCTGAATCTATATCAGTTAGGAAATAATTTCTTGTGCAGATATTCCAGTACCTCCTTTCTGCAGTTCAACGGCTCGAACTCAAAAAAAGGGATCTGAAAGTTAAATAAGGAGTTTGTTACTCAGAGTTAAGTTAGGAATCCATTACTCAATTTGGCAGGGAACTTAATTAGACCAATTTTCTCATACATTTTGCATGAACAGGCCAAGAGGGTAAAATGTTTTTACACTGGTTCCCTTCCATTAAGCTAGATACCTCTGTGTTTAACTTCCTCAATTAAGGAGAGACATGTTCCCAGCTGTGAGATAGTACCATACGGATCTTATCCTGTATCAGCTTACCTGACCATTATACAATACTGCACTGTAAAATCTCTTACTGACACCAAGGCACAAGGCACCTGTAGCTCCTCTCACCCATTCCCTCCAGGAACCTGCAACTGGTCTAGGATCCCTTGCCATTGTAAGCGTATTTCCACATGCACTGGACAGCAGTAAGGAAAACAGGACTTGGGAAAAAGCAGTACGTAGCACATCTTCTCCTGCTTTTGTGGGAGACTGTAAAATATGGTTGTTGCCAGAATTTGAGGTGCAAGGGGGAAACTGACTGGAGTATTGCTTGGTTTACCCAACAGTCAGCAGTGGAAGACTGCTATTCTACGTAGGATACCAGCTGCTATGGAATATAAGTAGAGGGTGCTACTGCATATAGGCATTGCTCTGAGATTTCCCAAAGGCATCTGGTTGGCCACTGTAAAGGCTGTTGTGCTAATCAGGCTTCAGTTCGATCTAGTATGACTGTTCTAAGCAAAGGTACAATGGAACTCAATGGAACTAACTCACTTTACAGGAGATGCTGAATGATAAAACATCCAAGCAGTAGGACCTAGGTTTAATCTGCAGTATATGTAGGTAGGAGAAATAGTCTCCTAGAGGGGCCAGTGAAAGGGCATGGTTCAGGATAAGGTTGTCTCTTTCCCATCTCTAACATTCAAAGCTGGTGAGCTCTTTGGAGAATCCATAGACAGAGTGCTACCAGCCCCCCTTCCCTCCCTCTATGCATGAAGGACAGTAGTAGTTCATAGCTGTGCAGCAAAGGACAGTTTGACATGCAGAATGTATATGCGGTCAGCTCTTAGAAGCCCACGCCTCTGGAAAGTGGTCAAGGTGGCAATGCAGACTTCTGGATGTTCAAGAAGGGAGGCAGGCTGGGAACAATTTCCTATGAGAACTCCATGCTGTGCATGACAATTTGTCCCTTGGAAGGTACAGCTGACATTTTCAGCACAGCGTGGTAAAGAGGTTATTGGATTTCCAACATTTTGAAGACTCACCTGCACAACTTTATAACCAAGGAGCTGCAGGTGTCTTTGTTTAACGGCTTCTCTGCCAAGAAGATGGTGACTGTTGAAGCAAAATCGCTCTTGGTCATCAATGCAGAGAGCTATTCTGATAATTAAAACACAGAATATAATTAAATCTATATATTAAATATAATTACATGTATTAATTAAATCTCTCTCTCTCTCTCTCTGCAAGTCAGTTTTAGGTACTGAACTTGAACGTAGTGCATTTATGCAAGTCTAAGGGCCAATTATGACATTGATTCTCAACTGGTGCACCCTACACCCAAAAGCAATCTGGGTGGGATGCCTTGTAACAACTGTCAGGAATTCATTCTTCATGACCCCATGCACTCTTGCAAAGCATGACTTGTGACTTTAAAATTTATTATCTTTCTGTTTTTAACAGTTTCATAACATGCTTTATAGTGTAATTTATACACTGCAGTGTTATTACTATTATGACAATGTTCAGCTATTAATGGAATTGTTATTTTTTGTTTCCATTTGTTCTCAACAACAGTATTATTTTGGGGAATATTTAAGGGTTATTTTTAATGCCCTTAAAACTTAATGCAAATAAATACAGTAATGCTACAATAACAGAAACCCTATTGACCAAACATCTTCAGAAAGAGAGGGCTTTTTGTTTTGGTCATGGTGGGACCCAGGCTCTTTCATGCTGACTGGTGATTCAGCAAGAGCAGAATCCTTGAGATATAGAACAACTGGATGTGCAATAATCTTGTATCAATAGGAGGGACACACATTCTTGCATTCTGGTGCAGAAAGAAAGTAGTACACCGCTCACACCAGGAAGGGGGAACGAACCTTGGTTCTGCTCATGGGAGGACAGCAGTGCCTAGCAAGGACGTCAAGTCCCAATAGGGCACCATGGCAGCTAAAAGGCCCACTGCTGCTCTTGCCTCAACCAGAAGCGGTCCATGGGGGAAAACCTCCAGTTACATGTGCCCTACACCAGGAAAGAGCACCACCTTCTCCCTCTCCTTCGCAAACTATCCATGATTCCTCCTTTGGCAGCACCCCTCAGGAAGAGAAGGGAGAAAGGGAGCACCCTGAACCTCTTTCAGCTGGTTTGGGTGCGAGAGCAGAGAAGGTAACGGCAAACAAGCTGCAGTCCCAGGCCTTTTTCCAGAGTGGGAGAGAGAGGAACAGTAGGAGACTGAGAACTCTTTCCAGGTTTCATACAAGTGGGGTCCTGAGCAGGAACAGATTTTAATAATAAGACCATAATAAAAAACGATCATCTGGCCACGTAAATGCACTAGCTATGTTATCATTATGATCAGTCAGAATAGGCAGTTTCCTACAATGGCTTAAAATCAGCATTTAAAATAGAAACATGTATTGATAGATAGAAAAAAAACCAAATGTTACACCACCTTCACCACTATCCCTCCCCCACCTGGAGAAGGGAGCTCTGTTTAAAACAAGCCCCAGGTTAACACACCTGTGAAGACAAGAGCCCTCAACAGTTTAGATCCTTTACCTTTGCCAAGCCTCCTCACTGTTGTTAGCCATCAAGACCAATCCTTCTTCATCGAGTTTAATCTCAATATCTGGTGTGACAAAGGGACAAGAAAAATCGAAGATTTTTTTCCCCTGCAGCTATTCCATTACTTGCACCTCTTTTTTACTGATACTACTACTAAACCCAGAAATATGTCAGCATTTGCCATCTTATCTGTCTGCAACAGGAGGAATTCTTGACAAACCTCTTCATGGTCATCTGCACAACATGATAGGCACTGTATTCAGTAAAGATTATGAGACTTGTTTTAGGAAACATTTTAATTTAAAAAACTACCTTATAAAACATTTGACTATTAACAAAACAAGAAGGTAGAAGGATTAGTCTGTGTCCTATTTCTAATTTAACCAGGGAACATGTGGATGATATTGGAAAGGAAACAACTGAAGGGGGAGAGGAGAGGATTTCTTCTCATGAGATGTACCCCTTTGTGAAAGACAGATGTACAGGGACTGTTCTACTGCGAGGAATGAGACAGGACCATCAATGTCCCTGCTGGAGCACTGTCCCTTTCACCGAGATCAAGTGGAGAACCTAAACTGGGAAGGGCTAAGATGAAATGGAGGGTGACCAACTCGGCTGGGGAAAGTAGAACCGGGACCAACTAAAATAAAAAAAATGCTGTAAAGGGCAGGAATGAAGGAGGATGAGGGCTATGTAAGGCAAGCGGAGCAAAAGAAAAGTTGCAGAAGCTGATGAAGCGGGCTCCCGTAAAGGACCAAAAGCCCTTCCCCTGGATGGGAATGGATTTGGCTAGAAAATCAATGTATGAACAAATGGGAGCATTTGATAGTACCCAAAGAGGAGGATGAGCAAAGGAGGCGAGAGGTGAAACCAGTCAAGTCATCCTATTGAGGTAAGAAAGAGGCAAGAGCGTGGGCGTAGAAGGATTAGAGGAGAGGGCGAAAATTGGCAGCGAAAAATGAGAGAAAACCGGATGGCTGAGAACCCTGAGGACAGAGAGGACTGCAACCCACTACTGTGGGAATATTCTGACCCGGGAGCAATGCCGAGCTGAGCCGGGCAGAAATACGTGGAGTAGATGGGGTGCCCCTGTTGTCACTATCACCAGGCCCAACAGTGATGGATGTTCCTTTCAATAAAAAGTCTAGACAGTTGGAGTTGAATGTCAGCAGCCCATTTATGGAACAAGAAAACAACTCCTTCCTTGTGCAGTTGCGTGAGGAAGAGAACCATTTCATGCCTGTTGATGGTAACAATTTTTGGGACTTGCCAGAAATAAATGTTGAAGGTTTGGAACCCCAAAACATGTCATGATAAAAAAAATCCTACAAGGGAAATACAGAGACCTTTAATAGAGCTGGAGACAGAACGCTCACACCTACACATTTATTGTCAAAGTTCACTTCCTCCTGGAGGATCACATGACGGGACTGCATATGTTGGCAGGGCACAAAGCATACCTTTACACCTCCTCTCTTTTTGCAACATCCCTTTCTACAAGGCAATGTATACCAGAGGTTAGCATGCTGGATTAAAACCTTATTTTGACCCAGGGAGTGAATTTCGGCCTGAGCTTCTGCACAGAATTGTCGTACAAATAAAGTAGGGGTGGGAATAAGGGCGACTTTGTGTTTCTTGGAAGAGAGGCAGGACATAAATGACCCAGACGGACAAACACTGCTCTTTCTTTTCCTTTCTGTCCAACAAATTGCCAAGAGAGGGACAGATCCCTCTTGCCACAGTTTGGACCCGATTGCTTGTGAGGGGCTTGTGAAATCAGGCCAAGTGGAGCAGGTTACCTTTCACTGGGATAAGGCATGTGAACCAAGCTGACGCCCACACAAAAAGCTGCTTATGACTACAGTCCTTAAGCCCTCAAACAAGTAGGTGCACTATGCCTTTATGCTGACTGAAGAAGCAACTGGCAAGTGATACTCAGGCTTATAGAAGACTGGATTACTACTTAGGAAAAGCATCTGCTTGCTAGCTGAGTGCTTGGCCCAAGACCCAACCAAACCCTGCAACTGTTGGGAGGGATTGGAGCAAAATTACAGGGCATTAACCATTAACATGCAAAAACAGCTACCCTAAAATCAGTAGTCATTTGTGCTTACCTATAGTATAGCCAGAGGGTGTCAATACACTGGAGGCAAAATAATATCTAGCACCCAGGAGTTCAACCAGGCCAGCCTTCACTTTGTTGCTCAGCTGAGTGTTTGCCAATGACTCCAGTGAACAGTCTGGAGTGAGAAAGGACTTGACTTGGTATTTGGAAAGGAGCTGGAGATGCTATTAGCACAGGAAGAGAAACAATAACAACAACAAAGAAAGTTGCTTACTGTCAGTTGGACAAATGCCGATAAATATGCATGTAAATAAATATGCAGTGCAGAGGTTCCCAGCCTTGGGTAACCCAGTTCTCGGACTGCAACTCCTAGAAATTCCGGCTAGAAAAGTGACAGTGGTGCCTCAACTTACGAACGTCCTGACTTATGACCATTTTGAGTTACGACTAGCTCCGGCCGCAAAATTTTGCTTCTACTTGCTGCCGGAGCTTCGAGTTATGACAGAAAAAAAGGTGGGGAAAAAAGCAGAGGATTCAAATGTACTAACCATCGGTCGGCAAAGAGGCTGCTCCTTTGTAGCTCTTTCGCTCCAATGGTTAGAGAGTGTGCGTCGGAGGAGGCTTCGGACTGCTTGGTGCTGCTTTCTGCTTCTGAGTAAGTACATTTACAGGGTTTTGCAGGGTGGGTTTGAGCTGGGGGGTTATGTTTCTGTGCTGTGATTTTTTTGAGTGCTTGGTGGGGTTTTTTGCTTTTGCTTTTTGCCCCAGCACCTTCTGATGGGGCTTGCTGTGTGTTTTTCTTAAATGTTTTCCTCCCCAGCTCTAGCATGTTCCCATGGGCTTGTATTAGTTTTTTTGGGCTTTGGTGATTTTTTTCCTGCCCCCAACACATTCTGATGGGGCTTGCAGTGTTTTTTTGTTTGTTTTTTGTTTTTGGTGGGTTTTTTATGTTTCTGTGCTGTGATTTTTTTTATGTGCTTGGCATTTTTGTTTTGTTTTGTTTTTGCCCCAGCACCTTCAGATCGGGCTTGCTACGTTTTTTTTGTTTTCCTCCCCAGCTCCAGCATGTTCCAATGGGGCTTGCATTTTTTTTTTGTTTCAGTGATTTTTTCCCCGGCCCCGACACATTCTGATGGGGCTTGCAGTGTTTTTTTGTTTTTTTGTTTTTTGGTGATTTTTTCCCGGCCCCTACATGCATTCCGATGGGGCTTGCAGTGTTTTTTGGGGGTTTGGTGATTTTTTTTTCGGCCCTGACACATTCCGGTGGGGCTTATAATGGTTTTTTTGGTAATTTTTTTTCCGGCCCCTATATTTTCTGATGGGGCTTGCAGTGAGGTTATGTTTTTTCGTAACTTTTTTCCTGCCAGAACAGATTAATCACATTCCAGTGCATTCCTATGGAAAATGGTACTTTGACTTATGACCATTTCGAGTTACGACCATCATTCCGGAACAGATTAAGGTCGTAGGTCGAGGCACCACTGTAGTGGTGAAGGCTTCTGGGAGTTGCAATTAAGGAAACGTGGGTTACCAAAGGTTGGGATGCACTGATCTAGTGGGCTTCCATAACATCAGCCCAATATGCCTTGAGCATAGCAAAGACAGATCGACATTCTCAGAGCAACTGAGACTAACATTTCCACCAGGGATGGGACTTCCGTATTTTAAGGACTTTCACTCCCCTACATTAGTAAAAACCTGCCAGGCCAAATTATGGGAGGAAAATCCATCAGAGCAGCAGGAGGGGCACAGCCTTCTCACCTCCCTGTCATTCCTGTCCCATTTTTCTGTTGATCAGGAAAAAAAGTGCCTCACTGGAGAGCATGTAAGTTGTGAGGAATCCTTGAACTTCACAAAAAGTGCATGGAGGTGTGAGTTTTAAAAACTGTGACAGGGAGGCCACTGAGGAGGCCCACCTCCTGCTCTGAAAACATATCTTCTCCAACTATGCAGAAAAATGGAGTTACAATAATCTTGAAATCCCTCTCTCCCAAAAATGTAGGGATACAGCCTAAAGGATCAACAATATCCAATATTCATCTTAATGCTGCTGATTGCTAATAACCAATACTAGTAACACTGACATTGTTACATAGCACAATTGCTGCCTCTGAATGAACATGCACAGAATCAGGAATATGCACCAAAATACTGGCATTTAAATCATACCTTATGGGATGGACACTCCAGTATAACCGTTAGAAAAAGCTGGGTCAATTGAGAATGAACCATCTCCAGGCAGGGGCCGCCAACTGAGATAACAAAGGAGCACAACAACACATTAAGCCAGATTCTGGGGCACTTTTTAAAAAGCCATTGCTGTTTTGGGCATAATGGGGTTTTCTGGGGATTGCTCACTCAGGAAACCAGTTCTTCCTTCTGCAGGTGGAAACCCTGCTGGAAACAACAGGAGGCAATCTCCAACTTGCACAACTCCAAGCTGGTGATGCTGGGAGTTCTGCATGGGATGACGAGGAGTCTGAACATAATATTTAAAAACTATTTGTTACACTTCCATTTAAGTATAAAGCTAGCCCTATCACCATGACAAAGCCTAAAGTACAGGGTTACCAAATCTGTTACACTGGCCACAAAATGTCTCTTAAGTGTTTGCCCCACTTCACTCGTCTACAGACACAATGCCTCCAACTTTTCTGAACCCACTTCTGGCCCCTCACGTGAATGCCAACTCACACATTGCAAGATAACTAATTTAATAGGAAGCAGCAGACTCATTGATGGATACAGATGAATAGGCAGCTGTCCCATTTTCTATTTCTCCTGAACACTCCCATCCTCTTCCTTTCTCAGATCTGAAGCACTGCAACGTCCAGGCAGCAGAAAGACTGAATACTTCTGATACTTAATACCGGCAGTAACATTGGTATGAGAAAGAAAGAATGGCCTTACTCGGCTCACCTAGCGAATTCATAGCAGAAGTAAGATATAGAGGGAGACCTTCCCAATTCACAGCTGTCTCTTTCAGATTATGTTATACCAGCTCTGAAAATGTCCCAGACAGGGTTAAAGATGTTCTATGCCAGTATTTTTCAAGTGTACCATTTCTGATACTATACAGTCCCTGATACCAGTTATGGAAAGCAATCTAGGGTACATTCTGGAATGCCTTCAGTCTCTGCAGAGCAACAGTTTGTTTGGGAACCTTCGTATTACTTCATATGAATAGAGGGTATGTGTTACAAGACAGGTAGGGAAACCAACTCTCCAAGTGTTTCAGCCTATAACTTTACTACTCTTTTATGACTGACCAGACTGGATAAGGCTGTAATCCTAAACAGCCAGGCTGCCTGACCCATGCTCTACAAGGGAGCCAGTTTTCAGAAAGGCAGCTGTGTTGGTGTGTGTGTCAGAACAGAAACAAAAAGAAAACATTAGGCAGCTTTAAGACTGACACACTGATTTCAATGGAAGCTTTCTTGGACTTTATTTCAATGTGAGCAGACTGAGATTCATGGAAGTTCACACTGTATTAGTCGTAAAGAAGCCACAACACTTTTGCTTTTGTTGGTGTTCCCTTCAAAATGCGCTTGGTAAGGAAAAAAACCAGGAATAGAAAACAAGCTGTTTTCCACAAAGATGGACATCATCTTTCTCTTACAGAAGAAATCCTGGGATTACTGGAAGTACACTTTGTAAACCACCATCATGAAAAGAATAGCATAATAGAAACAGAGCTTTGACTTTCTTACCTTGCAACTGTTGCAGAAAATAAGGTCGGAATACTTTTGTTAGAAAATTAAGAGGATAGCGTTCAATAAGAGTGCAGGAGTGCAGAAGGTTCAAGACTTCATGAGGCTGAAACTCAGTAAAGCGAGACCTTAATATCCTTTCAAGCTTTTGGAAAAGAGATGGAGCACTTGGGGGCAAATAATTGAGTTTCCCAAATGGGACAATCACTTCAGCAATCTGAGTTGCAGTGAAACTGTCAGCGTTGTAGACAAAACGTTCTGCTACTGCATCAAAGATAGTTTTGGAAAGGATGTGCCTTCTGCTGCAATACTGCATAATTTTGGAGATAGCATTGGGATGCATAGTGAAGGCATACTTGGAAACATGTCCTTCTAGAGCAGCTATAAAGAACTGGTCATTGTGTCCAAAATGTATGAAAGCTTCCAGCACGTTTACTAATTCATCATCGGTGAAGTGGGGGACATGCCATGTTGAATGCTCACAAAGCTTTATCATCAAGGAAACTACCTGGGTTTGATCCAGATCAACCAGAGCATTTAATACCATACTTATCTCTCTGGGGCCTAACTTTGAAACTTGAGTTAAAGCAATATTTTTCATTTTATCTAACAAGTCCTGGTTCTTCCTTTTAACTCCTAGCTTCAGGAATCTGTAGGCCATAACCATTTCATCAGCTCCCCAATCTTCAAGGTTTGTACTCTGAAGTTGGCTCATGATTTGTTCCAGCATAGCACAGTCTGGACCCTTCAAGTTAAGTAAAGCTTCTCCAAGAATGCATAGATTTCTAATAGTCATCTGGCCCTTATCAAGACGTTCCTGGCTCTCTGACACCAAGCGAACCACCAAGGTACTATAAGGGTCCATATGCAACTTTATCAAAGTACTCAGCGAATTCACAAGCACAGAATCAGGAAGATTTGTAGATTCTTGTTCTAGCTGGAAGCAAAGAGACTTGAAGACTTCATGCTCCATCATACCCTTAGGATTCAACTTGCCTTTCTCCAAGTGATTATCACACAGCCACTGGAAGACTGATGCCACCATTGTGTTGGACAAACTTCCCAATGAATGCACAAATTTGAAAATGTCTGTGTATGAAGAGAAAGAGTTAATTTCCTTCAAGAACATCTGTTCATCTGTCCATTTGCCATCGGATTTTAAATTATTACTGGTCACTCCATGGAGCTGCACTATTCCCAGTACAGAGCTAGGAGGAGTTCCCAGTTCTATGTGGCAGTTTTTAGAAAACAAGGATGGAAAGACATTCATGGAGTCTGCTGTTCGCAACATTGAAGAACCACACCACCAGCAACAGAGCCGAAACCGCCTAACTGGGCGAACAAAATAGGTCACAGATATGCTTCTAGATAGAAACTGCCTGCATGCTGGTACTATGGAAGTGCATGCCTGGAAATATCTGAAATTCTTTGAAGCCATCTCAGGTCAGCTTTAAATATTACCCCCTAGGAAAGAAAGGAAGAGAAAACAAAGTCAGATGATGCAACATAGGAACGGTTTTGGATCCAATTTTTTTTCCCCCAGACTATTTCCAAATTGTGGATTCTCTGTACAGGCACTAACTCCATGGAGAAATGACACCAGAATATTTTTAAACAAAGGGGAGCAAAGAGATATAACTGTCATCAGATCCTCAAACTGTTAAATGGTTAACAGACACAGAACATCAGCACCAATATTAAAAAGTACATGTCACAGTCTGTGAAAAGATTTTCATAAAACTTTTACCAGATTACATTATGAACAAATGGAATCAATAATGGAACTGGGGATATTTCATGGCATACTAGTCCAAGATAGACTATCTGTGGGTCACCAATTGTGGAAGATTTGACCCAATATATTATACAGTGGTGCCTTGCATTACGATGTTAATTCGTTCCAGCGAAATCGCTGTAGAACGAAAACGTCGTAATGTGAAAATAAAAAGCCCATTGAAACGCATTGGAACTCCTTCAATGCGTTCCAATGGGATGGAAACTCACCGTCCAGTGAAGATCCTCCATAGGGCGGCCATTTTCGGTGCCTGTGCAGCGAGGAATCCATCCCAGAAAACAGTGGGGAGCCATTTACCCAATGGCCATTTTGAAACCGCCGATCAGCTGGAGGAAAATTGCCATTTTGCGAAGAATCGGTTCCCGAAGCAGGGAACCGATCATCGCAAGCGAAAAAAACCCATTCAGCCCATCATTTTGCAATCGCAAAAAGATTGTCGTAATGCAGTTTCGTCGTAATGCGAGCCTATCGTAAAGCGAGGCACCACTGTATATTAACATCAGAGACTGCTATACAGTTTCCTTGTTAAAAGAGAATGAAGCATGGGAAACTAAAGAAAATTGTGCTTCTTGCTAAAGGAGACACACCAATATGTGACAAAGAATCAAATTTTCTGTGCAGTAAAAACTGACAAATGCAGGAAGAAATTCAGACTATCTCTACAAATCAGCATGAAGAGCTGAAAATATAAGAGTTTGATTGTAGCCCATCAAACTCATTAATGCCATACAGGTAACTGGGCACCTGTACTTTAATAATATTAATTTGTTCTACAAACAAAGTCTTAATTTTAAGATATATACATATTTCAACATGTACACATATTAACATGTATTTAAATAAGGGTGTTTAATTCTGAGTAAGTATAACTGAATAAGCATGTCTGAGATACTCCTGTCCTCTGAAGATGCCGGCCACAGAGACTGGCGAGACGTCAGGAAGAACAACCTTCAGAACACGGCTGAACAGCCCGAAAAACCCACAACAACCAACATGTATTCATTCTTATATGTCAATTTTAACAACAATTTCCCCTTTTTATGTTAGTTTGATTGACTATATTATTTTGTTATGGTCTACAGGTTGCGAGGCACCACTGTATATTATAAACTGCAGAAGCCTCTGTAAGGTCTGTAGATCTTCAGCTGTAAGATCAAATCCACGCGACGGAGTGAGCGCCCGTCACTTGTCCCAGCTCCCGCCAACCTAGCGGTTTGAAAGCATGCAAATGCAAGTAGATAAATAGGGACCACCTTGGTGGGAAGGTAACAGCGTTCCGTGTCTAAGTCTCACTGGCCATGTGACCACGGAAGATTGTCTTCGGACAAAAACGCTGGCTCTATGGCTTGGAAACGGGGATGAGCACCGCCCCCTAGAGTCGAACACGACTGGACAAAAATTGTCAAGGGGAACCTTTACCTTTACAGGTTAATGTGATAAATATCAATCTGCTATAAGAGAGATCACATTCTAGGAGTTGAAACACAAAGCAGCCCCTACAACGACGAGAGTGATGTGAAAAGAAAGAAAAAACAAGTTAGTCAAAACATCAAATATTATTACTGTCCACAGAATCAACCCTACTGTTTTCTAGGAACTTCAGCTCTCACTTTTTTTTTTTTTTTTGAAAAGCAAGTTACTAGCCCTCAAGGGCGCAAAACAGATGATGGAAAAGGGGAGGGCTGATGATTGCTGAAGTGTCAGAAGCCAGAGAAGTGGCGGAACAGGCTTTTCATCAGCAGGCTTCCAGCATCCCTCCCTGGTCTTTCCCCGTGACCCGAAGGCGCTGTGGTGTGGAATGGGTGTTGTTCCTATCAGAGACGGCGCGATCGATAATGAGAAGTAAGGAAAGTCCACGGGTACCGAATGCGAGGGATGGGTCATCCGGTGCAAGGCAGCCGTTTCCACCCCACGGGAAGGTGCGCGAAAGCACTTACCACCACATGGTCCCTCTTTCACAGGAAGGCGAGAGGGGAAACCTGATCGGGCGCGGCGGTGGGGAGCTGTGCAGACTCAGGCGAGGTGGTTCTGCTCACGATTGTGGAGAGATGAGCTTCCCAAAAGTTCGCAGGCCTCGCCAAGCGCCAGCCGCGGCACAGTTGACGGTCCCCTCAGGACCCTTCAACTCGCCAAAACCCGGTTATCACGCGCCACGAGGAAGTTTGGGCCTTGTGCCGCTCCGTAACCCTCAAGAAGCCAATCCCGAGGGCTGCATTTAGAATCCTCCTATTGTCGAAGAGGTTACTTCTACTCCTCTCCACTAGTCAAGCACCATCCAGAGTGCCGGTACTAACCAGAGACCCAATCAGAGTTTTCCTTTCACTTCCTATTCCCTGCCTTGTTGATCCGTTTCATTGAGTGGCTACAATCCCCATTCTGCCCCGCCTCACTCTTAAAAACAGATTCTGAGACTACTTCCTGTTTCCCCTAGAGAAAGAAATGTTAGAGAGTAACGTACTCCTGTACCTTTTTGCCACTATTTGAAGTTGGTGGCTAGGGAAGCTCGCCTAGTACAGATACCTAGACGGAAAGTGAAAGAGCGTTCAAGGGTTAGTTTGCCTAAAAGAGTGGAGAGAAGCTGGCGCTTTCCAGATGAGTTGTGCTGAAACCGCAATCCTTTCTTGCCTGTGGCGGTGCTGGTTGCGGGTGATGGGCTTTGAAGTTACTATATCTGTAGCGTAGCTGCCCTGCAATCTGAGATTTGCTTTGATGTCCTCCAGTTTTGTAGATGGTGTTTTTTTTTTTTTTGCTGTAAAAACAGAACAAGTGACTTATGAAGAACGCTGAACGGCATAAAAGCTTGGTAGTGGAATGATGATGGTGATGATGATGATGTGCTGTCAAGTCAATTCTAATTTATGTCGACCTTTTCCAGGGTTTTCTTCCAGATGGAGAATACTCAGAATTGGCAACTTATGGCGACCTTTTCCAGGGTTTTCTTCCAGGTGGAGAACACTCAGAATTAGTTTACCGTTCCTTTCTTTCTGGAACGCCCTAAGGACTGGGGTAGCTTGCCCAAGGTGGCAAGCCAGTGGGACTTAACGTAGTCATTTCGACCACTCTAGGCGGCTTGCCCAAGGTGGCAAGCCAGTGAGACTTAACATCTCTAGGGCGTCAGGCTGGAAAATTCTCATCCCCAAAATAAGCAGAAGGCTTCCCACCACCCCCGCTTGGAAAAGATGAGCCACACACTTGCTGCCTAGTCACTTGTGAGGGCTCCCCCTTTGTCTTCTAGCGTCAGTCCCTTCTACAGCTGCCACCAGAGAGGGAGGGCGGGAGGGAACCGAAAAAAAGGAGCCAAAAGTGCTCGAAGAGTCTCGTCTTCACTCGATGCAGGTACTGGTCTTTCTGTTTTTAATGGCGGACATCCCACTGGTCCGTGTGTCCCCGCCCCTTTCTTCATGACTGACAGCTGTGGTGGGGCGAAAACCCGAGCCTTGCCGGCGCCTCTCCTCTTCCTCGCGGGTCTTCACGTGTCAGACGCGTTGCTGTGCCCCCGCCCCCTAAAAAGGCCTGGCAAGGTTGCCCTCCGCGGTGGCTCGAGTCGTGGGGTTGGAGAGAGAGAGAGAGAAGTTGGGAAGCTGTTTTTTGTTTTTAAATGGGGAACCCTTGGAGAAGAGCGGGGGCCAATTTGCGGGGACCTTAAAGTCTCGGGGCGGAGCAATTCCCGGGGTCTTGGCCGGTGAGTCAGGCGAAACTTTTAAAAAGGGAGGGGAAAAAAATCGGGTCAGCGGCAGGAGAGCAGGACGA